CTGCCTGCCCGGTAATGCATTATCGTGAGTATGGACCCGCGGGGAACCTGGGTAATACAATAAAGCCTAGATGGCCTGGACGCTTGATCTTTCCCACGAACCTGAGTTTTATTCCCTCTTCTCAAATTTAGATTCTGGGATTCTGACACTTATAACTCTGTTGTCATTCATTTCATAGTTTATTGCTGAATTGTATTTTAAAACTGAATTGAGCCACTTTGAAGGTGATAATTGTAAAACGATATCCACAAAAAAGTAGAAGGAGTATCCACTAAATCTGAGGAGGCTTCAGAAAATTGGTAAGTACCAAAGTATAGGGCTGAAATGAGATTTATCCTATGATGGAGATAGATGCAGGAATGGAGAATATAATCTCTTGCACTTACCCCAGGATCCTAACTAGGGGACTGGGGGTGGCAGTGACAAACCTTTCTCCCAAGACGAAGCAAGGGGATCGAAACTCATAAATTAGTTCTTGCACTAATTCTGCATAGAGATGAGCAACTGCAGGCAAGTGAATTGTGCCTGAAGGTTATGGCATGCCTCAGAAAAAAGGAAGTCAAAGTGCGGCTTAGTCAATTCTAGAAGAATAATCACAGACATAATGTAATGGAGCAATAGTAATAGTCCAGCTGCACAAGCAAAGTGCAGGACCTAGAAATGAAGTGTACGAGTCATTCTTAATTAATCAGAAGCGGAACAGTGTGAGCAGATAGTCTATAATGTAGTAGGTCAGGCTGTTGTCACTGCAGACCTCTGTTTCAGAGTAGTATTTTAACTCTAGCGGCTGTGCCAAAAATTTGTCCTGTGTGCTTTCTCAATCCTTCTCATTCACAGAAAAAATGTTTCTGAAAATAAATTCAAAGAAAAATGACATTTTGAAGACATACTCATGAGTTGAGTACAGGGAAAGTTCTGGTATGATTTGATCCAGGACCCACCTGTTCATCTTTCTGTTGGTCCAGAGTATATGCAAAGCTCTCCTTCAACACCAAGTTTGAAACACACCCATTTTCTCCACTGTCCAGCTTTTGCACCTACATATAAGTGATTAGGAATATAGTAGTTTGGATAATCTTGGCTTGGTTTACACTTAATGATCTTTTCTTATTTGTTCAGTGCTGCCTTTCCAATTTTCAGTCTTTTTCAAATTTCTTAGCTGCAATTCCCATTTGAACTCATTCAAGGTATGATAGATTCTTCACAATTTCAATGTCTTCAGCATTGACTTTAAAGTTATGCAATTTTTCTGAAGTAGTAATTTTTGTTTTCTTAATTTTCAGCTGCAGTCATGCTTTTGCCCTTCCTTCTTTCAGGAGTTGTTTCAATTCTGTTGCTTTCTGCCAGTAATATGGTATCATCTGCTTAGCATACTTTATTAATGTATCTTTCATCAATTCTCATCCCTCCCTCTGATCCTAATCCTGCTTTCTTTATAATATATTCTGTGTAGAGATTGAATAAAATACACCCTTGTCTGATGCCGTTGTCTATAGAACACCATTCTGTTTTTCCATATTCTGTCCAAACAGTAGCTTCCTCTCCATAATACAGGTTCAGGATAATCAAGTGCTGAGTCACACCTATTTCTTTCTGATACAGCCATAGCTTTTCCTGGTCTACACAGTCAAAGACTTTGCTGTAGTCTACAAAACACAGACTGATTCCTTTCTGAAATGGTTTGGTGTACTCCAATAGTGAACATACAATATATCTGCAATATGATCTTGAGTGCCTCTATCTTTTTTTAAATCCCGATCAAGTATCAGGCATTTTTTCTCTATATAAGGTCAAATTATTTGTTCCAACACCTTGAGCATCACTTTGCATGCATGGGAAATTAGTACAATGGTTCCATAGTTGCTGCATTCTCTGGCATTGCCTTTCTTTGGGACTGGAATGTATATTAAATGTTCCCAGTCTGTGGAACACTGTTTTATCTTCCATATTTTTGGCATATTCTTATGATTTTGACTGATTCAGTTTCTGCAGCTTAGAATACTGCAATTGATACCCCTATACTGGATGCTTCATTCCTTCTAGCTTTTATTCACTTTTTAAAATTGCAGGATCTGTTCATAAGATCCTTCTACAAAGGAGTCTTTTATCCATTTATCTATTCTATATGGTTCTTCCAAATATTGTTTCCATCTTTTTAAGTACATCCCTTTTGCCACTACAGAATAAAAATAGACTTTTCATTTCTTGCCTAGCTGAAGCTTCTGTGAATCCAGGATTTGGACATACCTCAGATGGAGTCTCAACTGCAGCAAAATAGAAGTTGTTGCATAAACTTTTCTACAGGAGATATTTATTGTGCACTAAAGATCTTTAACTCACAGATGCTGGCAGCTCCTTTTTATGATGTTGTCATCCTCCAAGGGTTCACTCATGCTTTGTAGCTATTTTGTGGCTTTTTCAGAATGAGGATAATGAAGTATTAAATTTTAAAGGGACAACACAGGCTTGGGTGATTCCTCACAGTGCCACCTTACAATATATAGTAAGTCAAATAAAGCAAACTCTGGAACAACATACAGGTAAATAACACTCTCTTGCTCAAACAGAAGAAACCATTGTGAAGGTCAGGGTTAAATGCATCATCTAAAGAAGCCAACTACTTTTCCCCACCTCCTATCTTCTTAGTAGATATGCACAGGTTTACACTGTTGAATATTGCATGTGGAGAATTTGGCCCACAATTTTAAGAAGGGCCTATTCACCACTTCACAGCCTGAATACAGCGGACAGGAGACTTACCATCTATTTTCACCTATTAGTATTAAAATACAATGTGCCCCCAAATCCAGCCAAGTTTTAAAACCAAATCCACCATATCAAAGAAACTCTTTTTAAAAGAACTATTGAGCCTGTTTCTTCCCTGCCCTCTCCATTGGGGGTGGGGGTCAGCTTTGTTCAGCCTGTGATCCTGTGTATAAATACTTAGGAATAAATCCAACTGAACTCTGGGAGGGAAAAAAACCAGTAAACCAAAACTCACCAACATAGCAGGGCTCTTCTGCTCTTGTGAGTTCAATACCCTTCAGAAAAGATTGAGCATCAGTAACTAACCAGATAAGTCACACACTAATACTAAGTCTGTGTGGATTGAGTTTATTAGCTTCTCCCAAATGCATTACCAGGTCCAGACACAGAATCAGCAGATCCACTTTCTCAGTGGAATTGATGAATAAGAGAAATAGAATTTGTCAGCCACATATTTGACCTCTACTCCAAATCTCCAGAGGACTTCACTCAGTGGTTTAATGTAGATGTTAAACAGCTTGGAGAACAGACTAGGATGTTATGGGTCCCAAAGCATAAATAATAAGGAATCAAGCAGGAGTTTAGGATCTTCTTTCAGCATTCACCATCCAGGTATAAGCAGAACCACTGGGAAGTCTAGCCATTTAGATATCATGGTTGATGGTATCAAAATCCACTGGGAGAGCCAAATGAATAAACAGGGTTGCACTATCCTAGAATAAGTAATACCATAGCACAAGCAAAATAGTTTCAGCATTAACCAGACCTGTAATTGCATTGAAATTAATCAAGAAAGATCAACAGTTCTCTTTAACACTTGATGTCCAGACCTACACTACTGAGATTTGTTTTCCAGTAGTGAATCTTACTAGTAACAGTTATTAAGCACTTAGTTTACGTAAAGTATGCAAATACAGAGGATAAGTTACAATAAGGCAAGATACATTAAATGCCATATCTTTGTGAATAAGACTGTTGAAAATATAGGCTACCTAGTTTCACTTCCATTTCTAACCTTGCTCACAAATGCATTGGGATTTGGGGAAAAACACTCTTTACTTTAAAAGAGTTTAAAATCTTTGTATTGCAGTTGTACAATTTCCTACATCATGTACGAGAGAAACACCAGGCAGACACATCATTAATCAAAGGCTACCATTACCAATATCCTACACCTCAGAAATAGTGTAACTCAACAGGGTTTAATGTTATTTTCAAAATGACTGATATCAGGGTGGAAGAAGCCAATAAAAGACACTTCAAACAGTACTGATACACACTCTACACTCTATCCAAGAGTGTCTCTCTGCAGCAGGCAGGACAATCATTCAAGCATCCCAGTATAGTATACAGTACTTAATAACCTTTTGATGTGAATAGTATTTTGAGATCTTTCGGTGAAACTAATATGTATTTTCCTCCATTTACAGGCTGCAATGCTATGAATGCTTCCTTGAAAGCAAATTCAGCTGAAATCAATGAGATTGACTCCCTACTAAGCTGCCTCAGGTGACAATAGACTAGCTATAAACCTCCTCTTTTGTACCCTTCTGCCTTACTTACAGTCCAGTCGTATTCCTATGAGTATTTTGTTTCGTGAAACTTATTTCCAAGGACGAAGTTTAGGACGACTCGATTTGAAAGGAAGTTCAATTCAACTCAACAGGCTTTAATCCCAAGTAAATTTACAGCTCGACGTGGGACTGTTAAAGGCTTACTCAAAAGTAAGGTTGCAATATTATACACATTTACTCCCAAGTAAATCCTTCTGATTTACTCCCAAGTAACTATATATAGTATTGCAGCCTTAGTAGTCCAGCTGGAAAAGAAGGGTCTTAGGCTGTAAACTTGCAGTGCCAACTCAGAGCACGCGTCATGGCATCCAGAGAGACTTGGGCCCAAGTTAAGTAAAAAGGCTGCAGCTTGAAGCGGACTTTGCTCTGAAGCACGGCAAGGCCTTTTCAACGAAGTGAGCAATCCTTTGCGAGCAAGTCCAATGGGTAGCCGGATTTACTTCTGAGTGGGCATACCCAGGAGTGCCCTGTGACTGCCAAAAGGACTTGCTGGGGAATTGGTCTGGCCAAGTGTCCCCGCTGCAAATTGGGCGGCGGCGGCGGCGGCGGCGGCATTCCCAGCGTAATCCCGGCGCAGCAGCCCGGCCGGAAGGAGCTGCCGGCTGGGCGAGGGAATGCGAGCCGCTGAGTGGCGGCGGCGCGTCACGTGACGCGTCCCGGGCCGGTCTGGACTCCGGCAGCAGCGCCTACCTTTGCCCCCAGCCTGAGGTCGCGGTTCCCCGAGGCTGCTCTGCGCCATGTCCCACCAGACCGGCATCCAAGGTACATCTCGGGAGCGAGCCGGGCTTCGGACTCCCCTCCCGCTCCCCTTTGCTCTAGTTTCCCCATGGGCCCACCGTACTGCCCCGGGCGCCCTCCCCCACCTGTCTGTGGGTCCAGCGCCTGTTGAGTCCTGTCGTGGGCTCGGGACCGGGACAGAGACGGGCCATACAGCGGGCATCTGACCTGTAAGCGGAGGCACTGGAGAGTTTGGACTTGGAAGGAGTTTCTTCTACCCGCACTCCTCGCCCCTGTCCATCGACGGAGCGTGATTTGCAATGCCCGGAGCCGGTTTTCCCCGGCACTGCTCTTAACAAGCATCTGAGCATCTGCAAAGTGCCTTCCACGGACAATGCATTCCCACCCATTTGGAGCCAGGGGGTTCCCCTTCGGAGGCTGCCTGTTGTAGACAAGGAAGTTTGGTCTCGCATATTTTCTCTCTCTCCTTTTTAACTACTAGCCTTCTTCTCTCTCCCCCTTTACTTTTTGCCTGATGGGGATTCAAGATCAGCCTTCGGGAAACCGAATCTTACCAAAGCCCGTGTGAAATACATCGGGACAACTTTTCTAAAAGATGAGCGCTCAAGCAACGTTTGCAGGGCTGGGTAGCGCAAATAGCTCGCCACCAGAGGGGCGGGAATGCCATCGTTGCCTTGCGACGGAGCAGATGTCCTTTTTCCCGTAAGGGAGAGGCAGAAGGGGGAGGAAGCTTACACTGGCTTCTTTCCACTTACACCTGCCTATTGCCATGTAGGGGTTTGGCTGCTAGGCGCTTCGCACGGGAAACTATCGAGAGACGCAGCCAGACAAGGCATTTCTGTCTGTGCGGGGCGAACTTGTGCTGCTGTCGCGTGCTTGTCTGGGAATCCAGAACCCCTTAAGCAAACATCCATTTTTAAACATCTGTCTAGTTGCTACTGCTTTTTCTGGCTTCCATTTTTACTCAAAGAGTACGCGTAGGAGACCCGTCTGGCTCGGGACCCTAGCATGGGGCGGGGGATTTTTAAATCCGGAACTGGTCCCTGTGCCTGCCCTAGAATAAAAGCACAATTGGAAAGAAAGAGAGGCACAGCAGTTAGACACAATTTTAAAGCAATGACTCTTTTGATCCTTATATGGGAAAGTAACAGCTTCCTTCCCAGTCAGAAGTAAACCCCATTTTAGGAAGTCCATTCTGATCCTACATAGGGAAGGATATCTTACTAAAATCTGGAAATTCTTAATTTGTTGTGTGATTTTCTCTAGCAAGGGAAGTGAAGGTATTTAATCAAAGCATGTTGTATTAGGCTATTGTATCCCATGTTTGTCCTACTTAGAGTAGGTCTACTGAAATAAATAGGGCTGGAATTAATGCTGACTACAATCCAGGAGCAGAAATTCAACAGCTGAGAATTATTTACTATGGTTGGGTTTTACACTATGGAGACTAGGTGATAAAACATGAAATTATTGCTTGCTATAAATTTAAATGAACCCAACCACAGACCCTGTTTGCAAGACAGGAACTCTACAGCCATCTTCTACACTAGACCCAGCATGGCAATTTTTCCATAAAGTACATCAGCAGTCAGGCTGCACAAAAACCATAGTAGCATGTATTTTGAAACTATTTACTGTAGTTCTTGGCAGGAGGATTAGGACTATGCATGGTTTTTAAATAGGTAGTCTGCAAAGGGAAGGAACTGGTACTCTTTCTATACTGTTCTCTAAAGCATTCAAGTGGAAAGGAGAAGCTTCCGCAAGCCACCTCACTCCACACCCAATGATATCCAATCTCCCTGCTGGTTTCTAGAACTGGCACGATTCAGATTTTGATTTCCATATCCCTAGGGAGACAAAGCATCAATTTACACTGGTTGTAGCTCAGTAACATTCACGTGACCCTTCTTGTTTGTTAGTTCCAGTAGAAAACACTCTTAATATTGTTTTGAATGGATCATCTATTCACTGTCAAAACTAGCCACTCCAAGATATAGAAAATGTAGGAAATTGCGTGTTGTAATTCCTGGAGTACTAGAATAAGCCACAATGAACTGGGGCTTATTTCTTAATAAGTACTGTAAGAGCTATTCTGTATTCTTTATTTTTTGTGGGGGGTTCAATTCTTGAAGTTAACATTAATACAGATTTGATGTAACCAGTCTTGGTTGGTTGATCCAATGTTATAAAATGAAACAGTGCATCATTTTATTGCTTAAACCTGTTGGTGTAAAAGATGCAGCTGTTTAATTGTGTGGAACTTTCCACTGGGGAAAGTCAGTTGATTTGCAAATATCTCTATCACCAAACCATACTGGAAATCTCTGTACATTGGATGATGCTGGTCTCTTTGCTACCTTTCTTGGTTTTCTTTTTCTTGACAGAATGCATTCACCTGCCCTCCATTTCGCTATGACTTGTAGATTAATATCCCAACGTGTCTAAAACCAAAAATGCTGGGGAGGAAAAAAAGATCTGGACAAAATCCCTCTAGGCATCACTTACAGTGATTTAGCAAGAGCTTCCCAACTAGGTATCCTCCATGTGTGTTGGATTACCACTCCCATCATCTCCCAATGAGCACAATGCTGCTTTCCTGAAGGGCTGGAGCTCACTTTATGTGAACAAGGCATAAATGTGTTGCATGGTGCCAAAAAACAAAAACAAAAAACCACCATTTAGTAGAGCCAAAATGAACTTGTTCTCTGAGGTGGTGCAATCAATGGCAGATTCATTTTATCTTGAATTGCAACAATTGTATCATGCCCTTCCTCAGAGTTAGGCAAGTGAGTCTTCCAACAAGGCTCAAATAATCAACTTCTGTAAAGTGTGCTGAGAGTTCATTCGTTGGCTGGTCACCCAGCAAACTTCTCAGCTGTATTTCCGATATCACTACCAGTGCTGGCCTGCTACAATGACTTCACCTGTCCTGGGCTGCAGACTCTGTTGGTTGAACTCAAAGCCATGTTTACCTTAACCCATTTAACATTTGGCTGATCTAGGTGGCTGTTAAGAAATCAGTGATGCCTGTATGGCCATGCCTAACACAGCTGTACTAATGCTAGCAAAGGTATCTAGAACAGTTGGGAATATTCACCTTTTTAGATGTCTGGAGAATAAATTAGATAACTTAGTCAGAATGCTATCCTATGCATGCCTTGACCAAAAGGAAAAAGGTCTTATAACTCTCAGCACTCCCAAGCCAGCCTTCAGGTGCAATCCTGTGCATGCCAACTCCAAAGTAAGTTCAACTGAATTCAGTGGGACCTGATCCCAGGTGTTTGCATTGCAGTTTTGGTCTACTTTCCCTGCATTAAAGATGTACTGGTGTTTTAGTTGTACCTTTTTAACACTTTGTTTAAGTAAATAGAATTCAGACTATCTTGGAGTGCCTAAAATCTGTTGTTGTTGTTGTTTTGTCATTTTTCAGCTAATGAAGAAGTCAAGGAAATCTTTGCAAGAGCTAGAAATGGACAATATCGTTTTTTAAAACTAGTTATTGAAACTGGTATGTGTTGCATTCCTGTGTGCTATCTTTTTCCAGAGTTACATAAATGAGTAAATTCTGCAAATGAGTAAAGTTTACCATCTTGAGACATTGGAACAAATAGCTACTTGTCAGTAGGAACCAGATGCATTTTACCTACTGGAATATTAATTGCGCATATGTCTTGAACACAAATAACAGCACAATGCTGTGTATTTCTACTCAGAAGAATGTTTTGTTGACATCAGTATGACTTATTGCCAGCTAATCTCATATCCAGTTACCTGGAAGTAAGTCTCATTGAACTCTGCGTGGCTTACTTCTGGGGAGACATTAAAGGCGTGCAACTGGCAGAGTAGATGTGCAAGCTTCAATTTAAGATAAACCATTTTGTTAGCAGGTTACTTTCCTAGTCAAGGCAAACCAACTTTGAGATGAAAGCCAGATCTCATCACCCGCTTAATGCTTTCTGTAACAGAAGCCTGGTCATGCTAGTATTGCCAGGGCCAACTATTGTCTAGAGAGGGCTGAAGTGACACATCTCCTTCTATTTCCTATTACCCAACTCTCCAAAAGAACATAAATACTACCCTTACCCATGGCGAGTGACTTTAGGTACTTAACCATTTTTATTGCCACCTGTGGCTAGACTCCTGCTTGTATGCACTCTGGTTTCACTGAAATCAGCACAACTTTTCTGGAAAACTCAAATACAACAAATGATTGCTTTCTTGTGTATTCAACGTTCAGATAAACTGGTCCTGTTTTACATATATGTATGCTTTTAGATTATACACCTATGCACAGAGTATCTTAGAATTAGTAGCATTTTAATAAGCAGTCCCTGCCTACTCTTCAGGCTCAGGGGCAACAATATTGAGCTACTAAGTCTGTATCACCTACATTGTATTTTATTTTAGTTGGCAGCATAAAGCTTGTTTCTTTGTAAATCAAAATGATACGTCTAGCTTAGAAAGTAAAAGCTGCTACTATGTATACTCCCCACCATCACTCAGAAATGTAGTTTCATACCAAGTTTGGTGAAAAATAAATCATAACCTCCTATCTTCTCTAGCACTATGCAGTTTCTACAGGCACCTTCTCAAAATTCCTTTATTTTGCACATGTAAAACAAATAGTTATATCCTGATATAGAGCTACAAGTATTATACAATCTAAGCCTTCAAATTTAAGGTAACTCCGAGGATGCTTGTAAGCATCCAGACCCAGAGAATTGTGGGCATTCTATGCTGGGTGGGACGAATGGAAGATGATCTTTGTCTCTTGGCTCCTCCTGCCCTTCAAGTCATCTAGTCAGCAATGTTCAGCCATGTAGCTGAGGTGGTTTGGACTAGGAGGGAAGGATGCTGGAGTGCTGCTAGGATATTCCATGATGTCTAAGTCCTCGTCCCTGGAATGCCCCCTTTACCCCTTCTCTGAAGTCTTTCTTCCAGTGTTGGAGAAGCTGCTTTCACAGTTCTTTCCCACCAACTGCAAGGGTGGAACATGGCAAACCAAGCATGCATGTCCAGCCCAGAGGCTGGAGCTCTCTTCTAACCTCAGTATTTTGAATTCTCCAGATTCCCAAATCCATCTAAGATTGCTCAGTCCAAAACCTAGGATTCTTAAACTTAATAAACTCCAACTATTTTAAGCATCTACGCATATACTTCTGCTTTCCTTCAAATCTATTGATCAAGTTGGTATCATTTCCATACTAAAAATAGCTCTCCGCTATAAATATTTGATCAGATTTATAATTAAGAACAATAGCAATTTTTGTCATTGTTTCTAGAGTACCCTATACTTCTATTTTTATTTTTACAGAACAGCTTATTGTGAGATCTGCTGAACAACCTGGTGCATCCTGGGAAGAAGACTATGATTCCTACGTTCTTCCACTTCTTGAAGACAAGCAGCCATGTTACATACTGTACAGATTAGATTCGCAAAATGCCCAAGGATATGAATGGATTCTTATTGCATGGTCACCAGACCATTCTCCTGTATGTAGCAGGATAAAATTTCTAGTGACTGTTAAATGCTCAGGTTGAACACTTCATTCCTTATTCAACAAGGAATTAGTTTGCATAATATGAACATTTATTTTGGTTCTTCCCTCATTTCTCATATGCACATACATGTGGACACTCACATCTCATGATAATATCAATGTAGGAATCCTATAGGTAGTGCTAATATCATAGGTCTTTTCTGGCTAATAGACCCCAACTGGATAGAAAATATAAACAGTTTGTGTGACATTAGCACATTCATCACAACTGTCTGGAATAACATCCTTGCGCAAATGATTTCTATCTGACTGACCAGCTGTGTGTGTGCAGGCATCCTTGTACATAGGAGGCTTTTGTTTCGGGCTATTTGAAAGAACAGAATCTCAAAATGTTATAAATTTACTTCTGCATAATCATGCATAGGATTGCATGTAAGTTTCATAATGTGTATAGGACTGCAGCCTTAGAGTGAGAACTGGAGAATACTTGCCCTCTATTTTCACCAGTGATAGAGTATTAGGCCTAGAATTTTCATTGGGATTTATAAGTACTGTGTTACAAATGGTAATTTAGGTTGTTGCTGCTGATATAGTGAGTTCATTGCTATATATATGTTTGAACTTCAACCTAAATCAAACATATTTCTTAACAGCCTTAACCTAAGGCCTCCAGGCTCTGTAAATCACACTGATTATACCATCAAAACAGAATGTTAAAGTACATTAAAAAGTTAAAGTACAAGTTAAGAGTCTTTTTAACTGTGTAACAAGAGAAAAGAACCCAATTGTTTGGTCTCTTCAAGGAGTAGCTTTAACACCGAACATTCATTTATCTGTTAGGTTCGTCAAAAAATGTTGTATGCAGCTACTCGGGCAACTCTGAAGAAAGAATTTGGAGGTGGGCATATTAAGGATGAAGTATTTGGAACAAACAAGGTGTGTATTCTGCAAAGAGCAATTTGGCAGGATGGGAAGAGGGCAGCTGAGGATCTTTGTTCTACCCTTATTTCTCTGGGTTGATCTGAGCAGAAGTTGTAACTCTGTTTGGCTGAACTCCATCAGTATCCATGCAATGGGCAACCTGAAAGAACTGTGGGTTTTTTAGGCCACAAACGCTTGTACTGGAAAGCTGTGGAGGAAAATTTTCCACTAAATAAACCATTCATGGAAACTACTGATTTTGTGTTTTCAGGAAGATGTTTCACTGAATGGTTACCAAAGGTACTTGGTAACTCAGTCTTCCCCTGCCCCCCTGACAGCAGCAGAAGAAGAGCTTCGACAGATCAGGATTAATGAGGTATTTCATCCTGAGTTGGGAGCCAAACATTCTTCATGAAACATTTTTAGGCAAAGGCTGAAGCCCATTCGAGGTGCAGTAACAGCAGATTTCCTGCATCAGTGGTTGAGCCCCTGTCCAACTTTTATAATTTGAAACGTTGATGGAAAGTCAGAAGCATGCCAGAAACTAATCTCAAAATTCCTTTCAAAATCTACAAACAGTAAGGCAGGGGTTGCGATTTAATACTTATTACCATTTGCATGAACTTTTGCAAAATGAAAGCATCTGATAGTTGCAAGCATTTCTAGCAGACATGTCTAGGCTAGAAATGTAAATAGCTATTTCCTTTTTTGAAATGCTTCAGGGGAAGATTTTTTTAAGCCAAACATAAATCTGAAGTACAATGTTTGCAGTAAGACATAGTATATACATTTGTTTAGTTGGCTTAGGGAATGATCCTGTGGTCTCTAAATATCCTGTGATGGGAGACACAGGATAGCTCAGACTTGCATCTCTAAGGCTGGAGAAAATGTTCTGACCTCAGAGCTGAAAATCAGAACCCTTTTCCCCCACCACCTTGCAGTCAGTGCACAAAGAACTGTGCCAGCTGCTCCCTGAGGATGAGAAAGTAAGAGAGAGCTAGAAAAAGATATTTCTGGAGGAGGGGAGTAGACAACTAGGAGATAGAAGGCCTTCCTGGTTCCTTCTATCCTTTCTCTAGATGGCCAAAAATGGCTATCTATCCACCTCTTCTGCTTGTCACTGGATGAGCCTCCCAAATTTAGGGGCTCAAGCAGATTTGGATGGGATTGCTTCCTTAAAAACCTAAATGAGATTTTTTAGCAGTCCTGCACTCCTGTGCTGACTCCTTTTGCAGTTTCTCTTTGAATATTTCAATATTTAATGAGGCTTACTTTAAATATAACTCATATGAAAATAGGCTATCCACTTACTGTCACAGAACATTCTTCTTGAGTTAAAGCAGATCCCCCCTTTTTTTTCACTTCCCTCATATTTGGTGAGTTTCTGTTTCCTTTTAAATAAAGGAATAAACTTCTGATTGAGGTATTATAGATAAGAAAGAACAAAGTTTAAAGAGATTCTAGAAATTTGGGTCCTCTCCTCTCTTTCACTATCTTGCCACTTTAAGTAGAGTACAGATAAGCTTTCAGTCTTCTCTTTTTCAATTTTTTCCCCCCAGGGACGAACTGAAGTCAGTGTGGATTCTAAGCATCAGACTCTACAAGGAGTAGCATTCCCTATAGCCAAAGATGCTGTCCAAGCATTGGAAAAACTGAAAAACAAACAACTTAATTATGTACAATTGGTAAGTACATTTCACTCAGCTTAATCCTGAAGATGATCAGTTCACAGATGTTCATTGTTTAGAAACAGGAATAAGCGCCACTTAATCTACAGCAATCCAGGATTTTCCTCTCAAGTATCCTAGCCTTTGTATTGTATATAGTAAGAATTAAAATTCAGTGTCCATGCATTGACAGGAAGTCTCTTTGATCTAGCAGAGGCTTTTGTCAGTGGAATTGAGAAAGAGGTAAGATATATATATATTCAGTCACCTCTTTCTTGTAGCATTTTGCCCTCTCAGACACCAGAGGGTTGGGAACTCTTCAGGACAAAATCTATCACTTTAATATTTTGTTCTGGGTCAGAGAGAGAGAGCATATGTATTTTATGCAAACTGCTATTATGTTTGTTGGCAGCAAATTGACATGCAAAATGAAACTATCATCCTGGCTAGTACAATCCCAACAGAGTTGAAGGACTTGCCAAAAAGAATTCCAAAGGATTCTGCACGGTACCACTTTTTCCTCTACAAACATTCCCATGAAGGAGACTATTTGGAATCTATAGGTATGTAAACTTTTCTGTGTACATATTTAAATAGGGAAGTTGCCATGACTAGAAGTCCTTTGGCTAGGGATTTGTGGCCAAAAATTCAGTTACAATAATTAGTTTATTCCATCTCCTAAAACCATTTTAGCTTGTTGACCCCTCCCCACCATTGGTCCTTTGTAGTCTTACAATAAAAGAGATGTACAGAGAATCTTGTTTATGCTTTTCAAATTTTGCAACAAATCTTAAGATTTATTTGGAATAACTTTTCACCAATTGAAACATTCCAGTTTTTATCTACTCTATGCCTGGCTATATGTGTAGTATACGAGAGCGGATGCTATATTCTAGCTGCAAGAGTCCCCTTCTAGAAATTGTTGAAAGACAGCTGTGGATGCAAATCATCAGAAAGGTAAGGACACAGCTTGGGCTCTCTACTTGTTGTGCTCACAGACCCTTGAGATTGTGCCTCTACAATGTTAGCATCCACTGTTACCTGAGATACGGACACACAGGTTTTCTGAGGATGTTGCCCTTTTTAGGTTGAGTCTAAAGAACTATGAACACTACCATGTTTCAGCAACATGCACACAAACAATAGTGGAACAGTTGATACGGTTTATATAATTTATATTGTATGTCAAATTTATAGCAATGTTATGCTTCCACAAGAGCAGGACAGTGTACTTGAGTGTTGTTTCGCTTTTCCGGTGTGACACTATGGTGTGTGATGTACAAAAAAGCCTTCTTGATGAAAAAGGGCACCTTTGGATTCAACCGCTTTCCAGGTATATGATCCAAAATGCAAGCCCACCTGGTGTATAGCCTTGGTCCCTCATACCCATGCTGAATGCATGTAGAGGACTTTGCTACTGGCACCTAGCCTGAGATCACCAGCTCAGCTCCTTTTCTTAGTAGTGGCATGGCTTTCATATACCTGCCACAAGCTGCCATGCTTTGGCTGTATTGCTTTCATAAGGAAATATGTTTTCTTTCCCCACCCAAAAATTTGAATGGCTAGCAAACATGCAATTTTCATACACTGTACAATCAACGAACAGAAGATTGTTCTGCTCTTGCAGAAGCATAAGTATTAGGAAGCTTTGGTTGTCATTCTTTGTTTCATTTGGTCATGTTTTTAAACCATTGGGCAAATCGTTGTCACTTTTCTAATGAGCTGTTTAATTAGGTAACAGTGACAACTTCATAGCCATCTGCTAACTTAGGAAGCATTTCCTCTCATGTGCATGTCCCTCTTTGGTGCCATTTAGTAAGTGCCTAGATCGATAACAATACTGCTGATAATTCTATTTTACTGTGGAAGCAGGTAAATTTACAGCATGATCCTGTACAGGCAGGTGCAATTTTTTTGGCCCAGAGGTCACAGATTGTGTTGGCTGAGGAAAGGACTCACAAATGCACAGCAATCTTCCACATCCCCTTGCCACTTTCCCTCAAAAGCTGAAAGTAGACCTTCTGAGTGCTACTTTCTGCAGTGCACTTCAGTAACAAAGCTTTGGGGGCCAATAGCTGGACTACAGATTTCGCACTCTTCTATATCGAAGTATGTGCATATGTGTCCATAGATTTCCATAGGCTTAGATGCACCTTACCATAAGAGTGGACCATAAAATTTTATTATTGGCCTTTCTGTTCTCTGCTTATAATGTGTAGCCAAGGTAAAATATGGCTAGGTGCTCTGGCCCACCAACAGAGTGCTCCGCACAGTTACCTATCATAATGAATGGAGCTTTACTGCCATGATAAAGATGCACATGAATGCTTTTTGGTGACAGAATCTGCAGTTCTTCAGGGATGATACAGCTTTATAACTTAACAATCCTATCTCTTATTTTCATTACAGATTGAAATAGATGATGGAGAAGAGCTAACTGCTGACTTCCTTTATGAAGAAGTTCATCCTAAACAGCATGCACACAAACAAAGTTTTGCTAAGCCAAAAGGACCTGCAGGAAAAAGGGGGATTCGAAGATTGATTAGAGGTCCAGCTGAAACTGAAACATCTACTGATTAAATGCAGCAAGTGTACTGGGAACAAAAAGCATTATATGATAGGAAGTGGGGGAAGGGAAAGCACCCCAGCCTTTAATGATTAGCTGAAAGCATTCCACATTGATCTTTTCCAGGAGGGAAAAAAGATTTTCCATCTTGTTACTTTTCACTGCACTTACTGGCTGCATCACTAGAGATCTAAGATTCACAGCCTGTGGTTGTAATGCATTGATTCAAAACTAAAATTACAAGCTTGTAGTATGCTAATTCTAATCTTACTTTATTTTGTAGCTATATAATTAATTACTACACTCCTCACTCACTCCCCACATAGCTTGCAATCACTTTTAATGATGACCTAAAAGGACTTAATTTTTGAAAAATTAAATCAACTCTATTAATTTAGAAAGTTGCTTTTTGGGAATAAAAACAGAGGAGGAATAACCCTTGTATTTTTTTTACCATATCCCCTGACACCATAGAAGTATGTACTGTTTTATACCACAGTCTTTAATATTAATGTGGAAACAAGCACTATTGTGATCAGTGAACTATTATTCCAAATAAATGTTAAATAGGCTGTACCAGGCAGGCATACAGTCTGCCTATAATTTTTACATCCAAAATTACAGTTTCTTACACCTGCTAATACCTGCCTTACTTTTACTCTGAAAAAACACATTTTTCCCTCAAAATGTATGTTAGCATTATTGCATTTGATGATGCAATAATACTAACATACCCACTAGAATGATTTTGTAACAACCCAATAGTTTTAAAATCAGAATGTTTTTCTGTCCAAAGCCTTCTGATTTAGTTACAATATGAACACTCCTACAATCTTGTTAGAAATTAACACTATTCAGGACAGCCTTTTGTAAGTGTCCTCATACATTTCTAGAGTCTAAAAAGAAAAAAAATGTTCTCAAGGCAACCTTTCTGAAATTGTAAAAACTTCACCATCTGAGGCTATACTGTAAATATATTTTGTTAGAAGCAAATCTTCCAACTGGTTTGATACGATCAGTAGGTTATGGAACAGTCATTGTTGCTGAATTCAAGCTGTACTTGATAGAATTCCTGAAGAACCTTTCCAGAAAGCAAATGTTTCAGAATAAAAGGACTGTCACAACTTCATCATGTTGACCTAGTTATGCTTCTCATTTATGACCACTATTCTCTAAATGTTTCAGAACTGCTTGGGTACACTCCTATGAAGGTTTTGAGAAGAAAAAGTCCCATAATAGGATTGTGTGTCTGGTTGGAAAATGCTGGGAGTTGTAGAACTCTTTTCATCTCCTTTTTTTTTCCTGCCTGCATAGGATTTTTCTTGAGTATTGTTTTGGATGTTTACTTGGAAGTAAAATCAATATAATTTACTAGGACTCAATTTCTTTTAAAAGTTAAGATATAAGCTATTTTTCATCATTCATTTTTGACATATTAACACTATTTTCATTTAAGGTCAGATAACTAAAACATTAACTTCCATAATTATTGTTCCTACTCTTGCCTCCACCCCTATAAAAGCTGCTATATACTATATACCCTAATTATTTTATTTTAGAACAGTGAATTGTTATTAAAGCTATTAATTCTTTGGCTGAGCTTTCACAGAGTAACACTTATCCTTTTATTTTGAGCCAGAGTACTTGCCTAATACCACTGCTCTTACCACTGCAGTATCATTTTTGCATAGGTAACAGCTTGTCTCAATTCTGAACATTTACATACCAGCAAAGAAGGAAGACTGGATTGTAGGGCTAATTTCCAAGTGTAGTTATACTGCCTTGATGCCAGGTTACCATTATTTTATTTATTGAATTTCTAACCCAGCTCATTAGCCATAAGGCTCTCTGGGTGGGTTGTACTCTGCTGGTTGTTCAAGGTCTTTGTTGTATTACACTAGAGCAACACTACAAACCAGTTCTCAAGTTCTTACCTTCGAATAGTGGAGGAGCTGATTACTCCCTGCAATAGTAGTATGAACCCAGGAGATCAGGTGGAAGAGCATGAGAATGTGTCAGCTGCAATCCCCTTATTTCCATCCAAAATATACAAAATGCAGTGGAGAAATAGCCCAAAGAACACTGAAGACTTAAATTTTTACTGAATATAAAACTGAAAAAATTATATTCTGAAGTAAGCTCTAATGGGATCAACATTTACTCCCTTGTAAGAGTGCACAGGATTATAAACATAGAGGGCTGATAAGCCTTCTATTGCATATTTCACACACAAAACATTTAACAATTTTGCATAGTGAGATGCTGCAGCTGTTTTGCAATATAAATAGTTGTTGCTATTTTTTAAATGGAACTATTCCCTTTAAGTCTGCCATGTGAAGTCTGCAGATGTGTGAAAACTTGAACCTAGCCCACCATCAGTCTGATTTCAGTACTCTTTTCATTTGCAAACAGCATATTCTTAACTGGCTACCGCACAATAAGCATTGCATGTTGAAAGCCTACAGGCACAAATAAGTTTCTGTTAAAACATACTTCAAAGCAGCCTAAGAAGGTACTTCTAGCAAAAATTTTGTTTAAAATAGGGTTACATTTAATAGTTCTGATAATTGCCAGGATCCATCAAGCTCATTACAGAACAAAGTACTGGTTCAGCCATTCCCAGCTGATTGGGAACACTAGGAGCTATAATCCAATAATCAGCAATGGATGGCCCGGTAGGGGGTGGAGTGAGGTTTTCTTTCCTGGTTTCTATGCTTTGGGGACAAAGTAGATAGTGTCAGCAGGTCATCTGGTGGGGGGTAAGAGAAAGGGCTAGCCACACAAAACCTGTTTCTACATACTGTTCCCTTCCACCATTGGTTTGTTTAGCAGCAGAAAGACATTGCACAGGGCGTAGCCTTCAGTTTTTCTGGAGGTCCAGTAGGACAATAAAAAATATAAAATTATGTCTACTAGAAAAGCCTGTAAGGGATGGAATTAACTCAAGGTCCTTCAGATTAGAAAACTGACTAATGTACCTGAACATGCTAGAAGGCAGAAACAATAACTGAAAATTAAATTATGAAACAGAAACTTGCTTTGAAGACACATATGCATAATTAACAAAGTACTAGAAACATTTTTACTGTGGGAACATAGGGTCACATTTTAGATACCTCCTTGTTTTAGCTAAGTGCATTCTTGATCATACACACTGTAGTCTAAATATGTGAATAAATGCTCAGTTCATGATCTCTCAGGAATATGTCTCAAAGCAATCCTGTGTTTGTAGATGCAGCAAAAGAAAGAATAAGGAACATGCTTTCTTCCATGTTAAAGTTGCTTTAAAATAGTAAAAGTTGTTAAAGTTGCTTTAAAATCATAAAACCTTTGGGTAAAGAGCTACCTCTGCAGAAGACTCATCAGTTCACAGCATGTAACACCACTCTTTAGGGCACCATCATGTACTGTAGAAAAGGCTTTTTAAAAAATGAAGCAATAAAGACCTATCTTTACTAGGCACAGGCTGTCGTGTGTGTTCTTAACCAACCATACATGAAACTTAGGTATCTAAATACTTGCTCTAAGCAAGTGTTTCAATAGCTTCTATGTGGCTTGGGCTGTGTGCACTGCAGTCTTAAGTGTTGCTAAGTGTGGTGCTTCAAAACCTCCCACTTCCCAACACTACAGGCAACTTTTGCTTATTCTCATGTTTGCTTTTTTCCCTTGGAAGTTGCACTCCAATTGCTATGAGAAGAACCACTTATTTCTGCATCTGGCACATGACATAAATAAGTTACCCAATTAAATCATCAGCTATTTTATAATCTGCGGGGGGAGGGGGGGACCATACAGTACCATCATAATGTTATGCTTGTCAGTTCCAGCTGTCTCTTGTCAGCTGTTCACTGTTATATTAGGACTCGAATATCTAAGATATTTCAGAAATCAATTATATGTGCATTCTGTATACAGAATGCAACTCCATTTTTACATTTGGCTCACTGGAAAATCTGGAAATGGGATAATGGATCGACCACAGAACAGCAGGGGCTATCACAGCCTAGAGCATCAGACTGCCAGTTTGCTATTGATAAATTTCTTCAACTGTTTTAGATACATGCAAACAAAAAGGACAGGCATGTTTTAACTATGCTTCCTCCCAAGTTCCAGCCTATTCAACTGGAGTGAGTGAGTGAGTGAGTGAATGAGAGAGAGAGAGTGAGTCACATGCAAATACCTATTTCCTGGATAGAATCTGTATGCTGCAGCAAGTTGCTTCACTATATACCCTAACTGTGAGATCATAGTTGCTCATAACATATGAAGTAATTTGACTCCTGCACTGTCTCATAATCAAGCAGGCTTAGAAAAAGAACACGGATGTTCCTTATCTGAAAAGAATGGATACGTTCTTTGTTCCAGGTGAGTACAAGGAATATTACAGCTCTCATAAACTGCTCAATCACACATATACTATATGATCCACTCCTTGTATTTAAGATAGGAACAATTCCATTGACTTTGAAGGGGTTTAGTCCAAAGGTGAAACTCCTTATAATAAAACCATTATAGTCCAATACACATAAATCCAACTTTTTGTGCTATGCAGGCTGCAATTGCTCATTTAGCCAAAATGACACCATCTTTATATAGGAGGGGAACATCAGCACCCTTTGGGAAACTCCAATGTTTACAGAAGTACAATTTAAAAACCATCATAGTTGTGGGGAACAGATACCAGCAAAGCTCACTAAGGCATGTTCAGTGGCTATGGAATGCTGACTATGGATGGTGCAGAGAAGAGTAGGTTGAACCTTGAACAGAAATAGCCAACACTGCAACATTTTGTTGAAGGTAAGTGACAATGTTAAAATCACTTTTGAATTATTTCAGACAAAACTCTTAAGAATGCTCAGCTGCAATACTGAACATTAACCTACCACCTTGTTAAATTTATTCTTTAATCTTCAAGGTACTTAAAAGTACAGGTCTCAAAAAAATTACATTGAAAATATATTTTTATAAAGGAAATATTAGATTTGTAGGAATATTAACTTTAGGTGTGGTATTACCAGGTCTTCAATATCTTTGAATTTGAATGCAATTCAGCCTAGGGAATGCAGCATAAGTTATACAACTTTAAGAATACATTCCTAATACTTCATCATCACCAAAGGAAAACCTTCAGTCTACAAAAATGCATGGAAAGAAGATGATCACAAGCCATGTATATTTGTGCACATGAAATATTTCATTTATGAAAGACAAACATGTGTTTTACACTAAGCCTCTGTGGCAATTTCCCAAAGTAGAAATACCATATTTTTCACTCTATAAGACGCACTTTTTCCCCCCTCAAAAGGGGAAATGTCTGTGCGTCTTACAGAGTGAATGTGTGTGTGCCCGACGCCCGGGACGCTGCTGGCCCACCTGCATCATGTGGCACCACCTGGCCGGCACGCGCTCAGCGCACGCTGCTCCGCCCCCTCCTCCGGCGCACATGAGAGCTGTGCCGCTCAGGGGGAGGCGTGCAGAGGAGCCGCGGGCTTTAACCCGCCGGCCGCACAGAGAGACGGACTGCTCACCCCCATCGCCTGGGAAGACCTGCCGCTGCTGCGCAGAAGACCACTGCTGGCACGTTGCCGACCCCACGTGGCAAAACCTGGCCAGCATGGGCTTGGCACACCCTGCTCTGCCCCCCGCCCCCCGGTGCAGGTGAGAGCTGTGGAGCAGCAGCCGCCGCGGGCTTTAACCCGCTGGCCACACGGAGGGACGGACTGCTCATCCCCACCGCCCGGGAAGACTTGCCGCCGTGCCTGACCACCGCCGACACGCTGCTGGCCCCACGTGGCACCACCTGGCCGGCACGTGCTCGGCGCGCCCTGCTCCGCCCCCCTCCTCCGGCACAGGTGAGAGCTGTCAATCACAGGTCGGTGTGTGTTTTCAAATGGCAACCCATCTTTTAATGAAGCCCATGGGGAAGTGATGGGGAATGTGCCTGTGATTATCAGGAAGGTTTCAATGGATCAGTTATCTGTTAGTTGATCAGACACATTTTTTTTTAGGATCAGTGGATATTTGAACAGCATTACCTTCGTGTATGAAGTTTATTCTTCAAAGGCTACTTAGTCCGCTGTGTGTTTGATTTACAGTACAATATCTCATTTTTTGTCAGAAGTTTTTTTCTATTATTTACTAGTAGGGCAGCATGGACATTACTGGCTTTTTTAGATTTGTTATTGAATTGTCTGCAGCAGCTCTTGTATAACTGGTGTAGATTGTGGATTCCTTCAATAATTCCACTACTAAGAAAGTGATGTCAGTGATTGTGAGCAACAGAGCTTCATAAAGTCTGACTCTAGTGATGACGAGTTCTATGGGTTCAACGAAAACTAGAAGAGTACTCGAACTTTAAAGTCTCTCTTTTGTTAATGACAGTGATGATGGTTCTTAATGCCACTGTTGACTGCTGTTCACTTTACAAGGTTGAAATACGGTATTACTGTATTCGGTTATAGTTTATTAAATAGTTTAGTAAACCATTTGATTCAGAATATTTTCTTTCTTGTTTTCCTCCTCTAAAAACTAGGTGCGTCTTATGGTCAGGTGCATCTTAAAGAGCGAAAAATACGGTAATATACTGATATATGCATATGCTAACTAGAAGTCTACAACCTATGGTTAAAAGATTTATCAGGTTTAAACAATTTCTTAGAAAACAAACCATAAATGTTAACTCTATAAGGTCCTTCAAAAATGGCTCCATCCTTCTAGCTAGTAATTTCATATATTACACAAAATAAAAAATAAAAACATATTTTAAACAAAAATAAGTGCAGAATACAATTTATATAATATCTTTCATCAGGAAGATAACAGTATTTTTTCCTAATTTGCATTCTGATTTGTCACAAAGTCGTGCCCCACTCATCACAACCCTATGGACAACATTCCTCCAGGCTAATTTGCATTAGAGTCATTAAAATTGGCAAACTTTTTGGTAATATAAAATACTTCCCTTAATTGATCCCCAATCTGTTATTACTGGAAGAAGCAACTTCTCTCTCCATTCCCTATAAAAGTTACAATATAGGAAAACCTGTTTGACTGATTCTATTGTTCCAGCCCTGCAAAAATCTGTTTATTGACTGGGATCTAACTCAAGTGTTGCTACAATTCTGATGGTAGCACACTAAAGCAGCAAGAGTAAATTGTCTCCTGTACTTTGGAATAGTTTATGTGTACAGATATAGAACTCTGGTGAGTCCAACAATGATTACAATTAGAGTAGAATAGTGAAAAACAAGATTTGTGGACAGCAGTGCTCAAATTTTAAACACCTATTTATAAAGCATGAGTTCCCTAAACTCCTATTACAAAAAATACGGTACACCTGGAAAGTAGGCTTTAAGAAATGTCTGACTTCCATATTTCATCTTTGCATTATAACTAATCTAGTTTTTTGAAAATAAAATCTTGGAATTTTCTAAACTGAAATTTAAAACAAAATCTACTTATCAAGAGTATCCATGTTACCTAAGTAAATCCCTTCCATAATTTTGTTTTTAGTACAAGATATAATGTTCCTATTACAAAAAAGGTATAGGGAACATTTAGCCCTCGGATATTGTGCTGGTGAACTGCAATCCCTATCATCCTTCACAATGGGTGTGGCAGACAGGGCTGATGGGTGTTGCAATCCAACATGCTCAGCATAAAGTTTTTCAGGCACAACATGAAACATTTTTAAGAAGGCTAACAACATGGGCTTATATTCTAAAAGACATAGCACAAAATTAGAAAAGGGGGGGAAGTATTATAAAACAAAGAACTGCAGGTCCTAATTCTTCAAAATGTGAAGTATTTAATGAATTAGCAGAACAGCTACTGGAAAATACAGTTGTAGGGCCCATGATAGCAGTTACTGTTAGCTGTGCTGCAGCCAACTAAGAATGATCAGCAAGAAGGACGGCTCTAGCAGAGGACAAGCTAAACAGCAAGAACATATCAATAAGGCTTTGAGGGAGGTTTTCACTTTACTGTCTAGGAAAGGTGACAAAATGATAAAGCCATAAAACACATGCATTTGTTTTTAAAAAAATGAACTATACCAACCGTACCAACTATATAAAACTATAAATTAATGAAAACAAGTTCTTTTGTACGTAAGGAGATATCTTTCCCCCAAACCTCCTGTCAGGTACATCAGCTACCACACCAAATCCCAGAAGAAAGCTTATTGGACCAGCAATTCTTGTAAATGTTGCCTGACCTGCAAAAAAATCAGAAATATAAATTGAAGATGCATTCCTATGCATGTTTAGACAGATGAAAGGACTACATTTCCAACAAACGCAAGCCAACAAGACAGCTGGGAGCTGTAGGCTTTTTTTGTCTCAACTTGCATAGGATTATTCCTTTAACTCCCATATTACCCCCCCCCCAACACACACACCCTATATACTTAAAAGGTCAGAGAGTGGTAAAAATCCTAGTACCGTCTTAATATCTGTCCTCCGGTTCTTCTTTTCATTCAGACACTGGCAAGCAATCAAATACATCTGTTCCACTGATGTGATATTCCAATTACTCATCTTTTCATCAACATAATCTTCAATAGTCTTTTCTTCATCCTCAATTTCCTCTATGATAGACAGCTGTGTAGAAGCAAGAAATAATATCAGGATGATTTCTAACAGTCTCATCTAGTGAATATCCAAAGTGGAAGGGTTAATGAGAGAAAAAGGGAATTTCAGTAGCAAGTCTACAGCTATTGTAGTTAGATGATATTATGAGCTGCTATAAACAGCATAATCCCACACATTTACTATAGGCATAGCACTGTCAAATTACAGCAATAATTGACATTTTAGTGGCCTAGATAGATGATAGCTGCTTGAATTCAGCATCATTTAATGTTAATGGGTCAGATTATTTTGCTTTGAAAGCATTTTAATTATACATTTCACCTTATTCTTTATGTTATTCATGGCTGCAGATCCATGTCAACCCTGGAATAGTCAGATTTCAATTTTTTAAAAGTTCAACAACAACCACAACCACAACCTGTTCTTTCATTCCCCAAATTAAACAAGTTAAAGAAAACAGGTAGGTGGATGGATGGATTCATTAGTGTCATTACAGACAAAGATCACAGATCTGGTAGATTTCTAATCTTTGTCCTGCTGTCACTCAATGTATTTCACTTTGATCTTCCATCCAGTTCAAGCTTTTCATTTCTTCTGGAAGTTATGATTTGACCCTGAATAGAAAATTATATTCTAATGAATGCATTGAAAATCAATTTAATGAATTGCCTGAACCAAAATTTATCTAACAATAGTCAACATAAGCATAATATTTGCACTAAGCACTCTTTCAGAACTGTTGTCTCCAAATAAGATCTCACTGAGAGTTCCTTCTGATTCAGCAGTTTAAATACCATGAAATCATGCTTTTTCAATATCAGTGTATGTCCATGTTAGGGCTATTTCCCATGCTACCACTGCCCAGGTTTTCAGAAGGCAAGAACACAGACATGTGAAGGAATTTCCATGTCTACTTATAGAAGTGTAGGAATGCTGTAAATGCTGTACTGGACATGTTTTATATATTTTTGAGTGCCCTTCATTCCATTATCCCTCACTGACTTAATTAGATTGTGTGAAAATCCATTTCTACACATTTGAGTAAATTTACACTCCTGAAAAGTGCAAATTCCTTTGTATTTTCACACTACTGGATATATGCAGTTTGGAGACTATTTTACATATTTTTCTAAATTTTCATAGAATTACATCAAGTTAAAAAAGCAGCGTTCACAAGTCTGTAGAATATGAGGAATACTCAGGAAAGCCAGTCTGCTATTGAATCCACAGATCAGATTCTAAGAAATCCAAGCTCATTTGAGTTCCCCAATATCCCTATTTCAAATTACTAATGCACTACTAGAATCCTGTAGGGATGCAGGTGGCACAGTGGTTTAAACTGCTGTTCTGCTGAGTTGGTTGGTTGCCGGTTCGAATCAACCAGTTGGTCGCCGGTTCAAATGTGCACAACGAGGTGAGTCTCCGTTGCTCCATCCCAGCTCCTGCCAACTTTGCAGTTCGAAAGCATGCAAATGCAAGTAGATAAAAAGGTACCACTTTGGTGGGAAGGTAACAGCGTTCCGTGCACTTCAGTGTCTAGTCATGCTGGCCACATGACCATGGAAATTGTCTGCAGACAAATGCTGGCTCCCTCGGCTAGGAAACGGAGATGAGCACCGCCCCCTAGAGTCAGACATGACTGGACTTAACGTCAAGGGGAAACCTTTACCTTTATTAGAAGCCTAGTCAGTTTTAAAATCTGCAGTCAACAATCAACAATTGAAGTCAACGAACACCTTCAGAACATATACAGAGAACAATTCCAAATTTTTGTCATTATCTAGGTAAAGCAAGTTACTTGTGCTTCCATTTTAATGTTACAGCTTTTAAAACTAGTACTAAAATCCAAGCAAACAATGTTGATAAATTCTCTTGGGGAGCCAAAATGAATGCAACTGTTTCTGATCAGAGTCAGTTCCTGACAGAATTCTTCTCAGTAAAATCTTTTGAAACTGTTGGTTTGGCACTGTAACTAGATGATGGTTGGCTAAGAAATGCAATAAAGACATATGATAAAACATACTTATAGTTTGTTTTATCTATAGTAGGAAAAATTACATAAATATAGTAGGAGAAATTACATAAATATAAATTACCAATAACTCCGGATTCCGATTTCCATCTACAGGTGTTAGCCCTGTAATTATTTCAAGTAAAACCTAGAAAAAGATAACCATTAATTGAAATACATATTAGGATTGTCTATTAAATCCAGTACATAATACAGTTCAATAAAATTCTGTCAAGAAATATTTTAAAGGTCATTTTGTTTGATTTAAGGTATTTAATACTATCCTTCATCAATTTATCTCAAGCGGTATTTTGACAATTATTTGATAAGACTTGAGTTGCTGAACATCACTAATCAAAAAGCTTTTTTAAAAAAAAGGAAATCCTGTTTTTATCTAGCACATAAGAATGCAAGAAAGCAGCAAAGTAAGCAAGCAAGGACTCAGTTTGTGCTGTGTGATACCACATGTACTTCTGAACACACAAAGAATATGTTCCCAGCATCCCTGCCTATCACCAGACCTGAGATTAGAAAAGAAAAGCTTCCCAAGTTCCAGTTCTTTCTGTGCAGTACTAACTTGGTGTACCACCCAGGAAGATTTGGAGCCTGCAACCTTATAATATAACAAATTGAAACATTGGGGAAAGTAGATTCCATATTCATTCACTGCAGGGTGAAGAATCACAGTTCTTTCTATTTGTTACCATCCAGTGCTCCAAGAGATTGGGATGCCCTCCACTCCAGTCATCTCCCATGGTGACAGAAGATCTGTCCCTACTATCCAAGCAGTCCAACCAAAATAACGTAACATTTTGGTGCTGTACTTGTCAGCTGCAGGTTGTACTTACAAGATTCCTCAATCAGCAGTACAGCTATGTGTGCCCCGATTCTCAGAGAAGTAGGGAGGCCAGCTAGGCTTGGCATCTACCCCAATATCAGAGAACAACCTGCTTCCTCCATATCTTTGACCTGCCAGCAATACCCCTCCTAGATTTTCTTACCCAATGGCTTTGTTGCCGACATGGCCATTATTTCATCTTCCTTTCATCTAGCCTTCCACCCTGGCCCCACAATGGTTCTGGGCAGCAAAGCCACTTGCTATTTTCTCCACACACAAGCAATTTCTTGGAAAGAATTTCAGTTGACCTCCATCTAGCAACACAGCGGGGTTTTCTTTTGATAAAATGCCTTATAATGCATTGTGAGAAGTTCCTGAATCAAAGGTAAATCTATATTCTCTTCCATTTGCTACCCCTTCATTCTCAGAAAATTGAATTGGTTATGCTGCAGGTAATGGTGTTTAAAGATGGAAGTTCACTTCTGGGAAATTAAACCATTCCATTTTAACTTGCATTACTTAAGTTTTCAGAAGCAGGCCTGTTAAAAGGCTGTTTTTCTTTCCCTGTCCAGAGGCAGGAGACCCTAACCTTGTCTGTGTTGCACCTGACTCTTCCCCTGGTCCTCTGGACAGGGAGAAGACCCATGGTCTGGAGGCAGAGGGCTGAAGTAAGGAACCTGAAGTGAGGCAATGGATGGTACAACTGCTAGCAGTCGTGGAGAGGGGGACAGGAGGAACTTGACTGGCCACAGTGACTGAATGGGAAATAGGCTGGACAGGGAGATGTGCTGCCCCAGAGCATGCTGTGGTCAAAGAGAGCAGCAGTGTCACAATGTCAAATTACGTTTTCTAATTTTCTGTTAAGCCACTTTGGAAAAACCTTTTGAAACAAAAAAATGGAGCAGAAGTTTAAACAAAAAAACTATTTCAATTTTTACCATTGGAAACGTACTACTAGAATTAAACTAAAAAGGAAAAAAAAGCCAATTTTCTCAGCAAATTCAAAACATTCCATGAGAATAGAGTTGTGTTAAAGAGGAAAGGGAGAAAGGAAAAGAGTGCCAAGCAGGGTCGTGAGCACTGACCCTAGCCTAGGAGTATTCCTCTTGGACTGCTGGGTTTTGAGCCAGGATCATAGGAAGCTCTGAACTGGCATGAGAGGCAGGGATGTTAGGTCTGGACAATAATGAGCATGCAGGGATATCCCGTGCCATCAGGGCATGGCTATGCTCCAAACCAGATCTGGTCCCTGGGCAAAATGCCTTCAGCAGGCGGTTGATTTATTTATGTAATTTCTAAACCACCCAAAAGCCAAAGCTCTCTGGGCAGTTCATAGCAGTAAAAAGACAATATAAAATATTCCAATTAAAACTTAATAAAAATTGGCAATACAAAATTTAAACCAAATATAATAAAGAAAAAAAATACATTGAAGAGACTCAGTTAAACCTTGTCTAAAAACCAGCAAGCCCCAGTAACTAATTAAATGCCCTGCAATAGAGGATGATCTTTATCCTGCACTGAAAAGATAGTAAAGTTGGTGCCAGGTGGGTTACAGTAGAGAGCCCATTTCGTAATGGGGGCCACCACTGAAAAGGCTCTTATTGTTGTCACCATCCGTGGCTCCCTCGGAGGTGGCAGTTTGAGAAAGACCCCAAAACTTGATCATAGTTTTTGGACAGATGGGAGGTCAGGAAAGACATTCCACCAGGTATTGTGGCCCTTAGTCATGTTGGGCTTTATAGATCAAAACCTGAACTCAAAAGCATATAGGCAGCCAGTGCAAGCAGGCCAGAATGGATGTTATATGATCAGATCATCTGATCCCTATTATTAATCTAGTTGCCACATTTTGCACAAGCTGCAGCTTCAGAACAGTCTTCTAGGGCAGCCTCATGTACACTGCACTAATCTAGTTCAGAGATAACCATAGCATAGCTCACTGACAGCAGACTATCTCTGTTCAGTTATGGATGTAGCTGAGCTACCAGCCAAAGCTGCTAGTAGGTACCCTGAGCCACTGAAGCCACCTACGCCTCAAATGACAAAGATGGCTCAAGAAGACCCCCCCCCCAACAAACTATGAACCTGTTCCTTTAAGGAGAGTGCACGTCTAGGCAGATTGAATTCTCTCCATCCAGTCAGAAGTACCACCCACCAACAGCATCTCAGTCTTGTCTGGATAGAGCTTCAGTTTGTTAGCCCTTTTCCAGTACACTGCTGCAGCCAGGCAGTGGTTCAGCACCTCCACAGCCTCACTGGCTGAAGAAGAAAAAGAGATAGACTTTTGCGTTAGCATGCTGATGGCAATGCACTCCAAAACTCCAGATGACCTCACTTGGTGCTTTCATGCAGATGTTAAATAGCATGGGGGACAAAACTGACCCAGAGGAACCCCATACTGGAGAATCCAAGGGGCAGAGCAAGCACAACCTTCTGCAGCCTACCATCCATGTAGGAGCTGAACCACTGCAATGCAGTGCCTCTCACATCCAACTCAGACAGTCATCCCAGAATACCATCCCAGCTCTCAGTACCATCCCAGTTGATGGTACTGAAAGCTACTGAGAGGTCCAAGAGAACCAACAAGGTTGCACTCCTGCGATCTCTTTCCCAGCAGAGGTCATCACACAGGGCAAACACAGATGTCTCCATGCCAAAACCAGGTCTGGATCCTGACTCAAATTGATCCAGATAATTCGTCTTCATCCAAAAATGCCTGGAAGCAGACATTCAAGAACCTTGCCCAGGAAAGGGATGTTTGTCACTGGCCTAAAATTGTTAAATTCTTCTGGGTCCAGGGTGAAGTTTTTTCAGCTGGAAACACCCCCAGGGTTGTCTGGAAACCATTCCAGGGATGGACCATCTTAATGGGTCCCCCCACCCCTGCTGAGGGGAAAGTCACAATTTGTCTAAATCTCAGCAGGCAGTGGTCTGACCACAAAAGACCTGGATTCACTGCACACAGGCTTTCTCCAGATGGGGAAATGTCTGTGTGTAGCAAAGGCACTGTGGCCAAGGTACTAAGTGAAGGAGCTTTCTTCCCAATTAAAAAAGTACACAGAATTGCATCCTTAAGCATATTTGGACCCCAGCAATATACTAAGGACACTTCATGGTATGACAAGCAGGAAACAGTCATTTTGGGTGAGTCTGATGCAATCTTTCCTGACTTGATACCTTCCGGATAGATCGACACTCTTCTCACCAAATTCATTTGGAGAGTGCCAAGGTAAAAAATGCTGGCATGTTGTCTTCCAATGCAGTAGCCTGAATCATACCAACTCTAACAATCCAAGGTTCTACTTCTGAGTTGATTAGAGCTTTCCCTTGTTTTCTTTTTAATCTAACTGATCAGATGCTTGACATTCATGTTCTCCAGGCTCCATTTACCAACATTAAAATAAAGACAGAAGTTGGTCCTTATCTACTCACCACACCAAAGCTGAAGACATCCGATTTAGGGGTTATCTCCCCACGCAACGCCTCTGGAGCCATGTAGGCTGCTGTTCCAACTATTCTTTCCGTAAGGATAGTATGTGTGAACTTTTCTGATGCTCTTGCAAGTCCAAAGTCAGAAAGTTTGGGTACAAATTTTTCAGTAAGTAAGATATTTGCACTGAAAAACAAAAAGGAGTACTGTAATCTATAGGGTATATTTCCCCCAAGCTGAAAGCGGTGCAGTAAATAAACAGAAACAAAAATAATAACATATTTTCCTTCACACTGGCAACAACAATTATTTTGACACGCTTGTAGTTTGCTGAACAAAAGCAAAAGAGTTATTCCCTTCCTTTGCAATTCTTTTCTCAACTGAACACAAACACTTCAATAACAATCTTACACAAATGGCCTCCACTAATCATGGCTGAAGAAAACAGATTGTGTCAATAGAATAGTAGGTCCATCTTAAATCACCAGAAACATTTTTTTAAAAAATATGTAAGACATTTTGGGAACTACAACAATACTGGAAACATCTGTTCTTAACACAGCAATTCCTTCTATAGATTTTACCTTTTCACATCACGGTGAATGTGGTTATTTTCATGTAAAAAGCAGATTCCATTTGATGCACCCAGAGCAATACTACATCTTGTTTTCCAAGGAATTGGTGCAGTGTTATCCTTAAAGTGGGAGCAGGGGAAGAATGGAAGTGAGTCAGTATTGGTCTTTCTGAGTTTATTGCAAAGCATCATCTCAAAAAAGCTTGCATAAAAATATTCAATCTAAATAATTATACAAATAAATACAAGAAAGCCCCACCCCCACCACAAATATATCACAACACTGCCCAATCTGGCCTGCAATAATTCTTGAAAAGCCCGTTAAAAATGAGAGACTTGCAAGTTCATACAGAAACTCATGATCAATAGCACCAAATGCACTTCAATGTCTACATGCCCCATATCAATTCAGTATTATGTGCACACACATCTCTTTGCTCAGGCAGAGCTGTCCTCACCATGATCAATACAACAGGACTACAAGAGAAAACTGGTCCTTGTGATCAATCACTTTACACCTACAAGAGAAAAGGGGATCTGGATCTTGCCAAGCCTGGCTCTTGCAAAGTCATTAACATCTAGACACTGACAACAAGCAAGCATTTCACTTACCAGACAAGCTAGTCGATCAAGCAATGAACCATTAGGCATATAATCATAAACTAGGCAAGGCTGATCAAAGTCGTCTGAGAAACCAAGCAATTCTACTAGATTCTCATGCTGACACCTGCAACATAAATGAATGGTCTTATTAGTTTGGGCTTTCACATTTTTTCAGTATTTATTCTTCTGGAAAATTATGAGGAATAAAAGAGCTCTGCAGAATAAAATCATATGTTGATCAGCAATGATTTACATTAATTAGGTAAGCTTAGCTCAATAGTATAGGCAGAGTACTTCTCAGTCACAGGGAACATGCTATATGCAAAAGGTCTCAAGTTCAGTCTCCGACATCTCCATGCTTGGACTGGGAAAAAGTCCTATTGTAAAACCTGGACAGCTAATGCTAGAGCTAGCCAGTACTGACAACACTGAAGGCCAAATTAAACATGGCATCATTCATGTAGTTAGCCCTAGTATGCATCGTTTTATGTTAATAAAGTAGGTGGCACAAGGGGGATGGATAGGAGAGCTGGATGAGGACTATAGCATGTAGCCTTTAACCTTTGCCCACTCCAAAGTCCAAAACCCAAAGATCACAACTCAACAAACTGTATTTGCTTTATGGGTTGCTTGTAGTTAACAAGCCCCTTTTTTTAACACAGCTGGGTTCAGATAATATAGTAACCCATGACTCAACAAATCTGCTCAACCTCTTGAGTGTAGGTTCCTGAACCCAGCCAATATCTAAGTTAGGTCTACAGTGCAGGGAAAAATGGTCTGACTTCAAAGAAGGCAGCTTCCATTGTACTTAAGAAAAATGTAGAGAACCAGTGTACATAGTATGATTTCTTCAAAATCTTTGCAAACCTGGAATCCAGAGAATATTTAGAAGTTAGGGTTCTAAAAATCAAAGGGTTTTTATTTTATTGTCAGTTTGAAGAATTTAAAGTTACAAATCTTGGGGCTTTTAATTAAAAGTTAGTTTGACTGCAATAATCCCTTTGCATTCAGTGGATCTTACTTCCTCAGTGGCTGATGGGTATAGGTATGGGCTATGAGAGAATTTAGAGAAAGCTAGCTCAGTGTTAGGATTTGGACATTCTAAAACTGGGGAATCTGAAGAGAAGCAGCTCAAGCCACTGAAACAGCGAGAAAAGCATACAAAAGGAGGGGAAAAGGCATTTCCACGCAGGAATGGTTCTTTTACTTGATCAGTGGGATCAGAACTGAAGTTCTCTCCAACTATCCTGTTGATGAACAGAAGCAACAAGCTTCCACAGTGGCAGTAAATCATATTCAAAAGACCCCAAATACACATTTAGGACCCAGTATTATGTGTGGCTGGTGGGGGAATGGTGAAAATTGCAAGACTTTTTTCTGTCTATGTGTGCATATGATTGAGTCTTTGGTGTGTTCAATTCCCCACCTCCGATACAGCATGGAAAATAGCAAGAATCCAAATAATTATAATTATTAGTCTCATTTTTCCATGATTTTCTTAAGTTGCTTCATATGTTGATCACATATGGTCACATGATTGAAATTTGGTCAATTTTGAGTAAATCAACCTAAAATTCACATAGTGCAGGCAAAAGAAATAAGAATTCTAAGTAATTTCTGCATGTACATACTATGATTTCTACTGCAGTTATATAGCAAAACCACATAGCCATCTTATCCTACACACAGTTCTGTAGTGATGTTTCAAAAATGTTCAGTACTTACTTTGCCATAATCCTCACTTCTTGTTCAAACTGCTTTTTCAGGTCTTCAATGCTTACATCAGTCAACTACAAGAACAATTAAATGAAACTGATTGCAAGACTCAAAAGTAGGGAAGCAAGAAAAGTCCTTAGAAAATAGACAGTTACAGACTTAACTGTTTAGCTTAGAAAAAAAGGTGAGTCAGAGGAGACATGATAGAGATATCTAAAATAGTGCATGAATTGGAGAAAGTGAAGAGGAAGAAACTTTTCTCTGTCTCCCATGACTCTCGAGCTTATGGTCATCCCATGAAGCTGATTCATAGGAGGTTTTAGGACAGATAAAGGGAAGTACTTCTTCCCACAATGTTTATTTCAGCTAAGTAATTTGCTGCATGGGAAGTGGTGATGGCCACTAAACTGGATGGCTTTAAAAGGGAACTAGAAAGATTCATGAGGGAAGTAGCTATCAGTGGTGACTAGCCTTCCTGGCTCTGTGCTACCTCCTTTACCAGAGGTGGCATGCCTGCATACACCAGTTGCTGAGGACATTGGGCAGATGGAAGTCTTGCATCCATCCTGCTGGAAAGGTTCTGTACGCAGCTGGTTTGCCACCATGTGCATAGATTACTGGACAAGAAGGACATTTGCTCTGATCCAGCATAGTCCTGTGTCTGGTGCCTGCCCTGCCCTTGCTGGGGGTGGTGGTGGTGCACTTTTTCAGGCCCAGCTACAGCTGGGAAGGGAAGCATTCCCCACACAGCTCGCTCTTGCCCAGCCGAGGTTCTGGAGCCACCCATCCTTCCCAGGCAAACCCAGCCAGCCAGCCAACCAGCCCCCTCGCAGGCCATTGTCAGTCTTCAAATCATAGAGGTAATGTGACTGTTAGCTAGAATACAGTAACTGAATAATACAGCAATATGTTACTGAGACTAGAAGCTTCCAGCTGACAAATATCCATGTATTTCCCTGCATATAAGGGCCTCCTGAAACTGAAAATAGCAAAGCAAAATTGGAGGTCATCTTATATGCCCAATTTATAAACACCAGAAAAACAGCCCAAAATATCATCCTTGTCTTATACAAGAGTCACCTTACATGCTGGTATATATGGTATTTTCTCAGGTATGTTCTAGTTTTTAGGGACCTAGGATAGCTCTTTGCTCATCCTGACCATTTATAGCCACATTTTTTGTCTATTAGCAGGGTTGTTGTAAATTGGGCATGCAGCACAGCATACGGGATGTTTCAGTGCATGATTTCCTGATCCTTGTCATGCCTTCGATTATATTATTTAAGCGAAAAAGATAACACAGTGTAAAAGAACAACACACTACATAGTGCTGATATTAAAATAATGGGCTACCTACAGCAGTAAGTTTTTTCACTGCCACTGTTCTCCCATTGATGTACCCTTTGAACACCACTCCAAAGCCTCCTTCACCAAGCTTGTTGCCACCAGCTGACACAGTTCGATCATCAAAATTATTCGTAAAACTTTTCAGCTCGAGAAACAAAAATCTCTGTAACCCTGAAAGATAAAAGTCTGAATCGACATCTCAAACATACTTTATCTATGAATTTATTTGGAGTAAAACACAGCAGTCCATTTTTCAAATTTTGAATTTCCAGCACCGTAAATCTTGTCATGGTGTATTACCTGACAGAGATGTATTCTCCTTTTTCAGTAGATGCCAGTAAAATATGTAGAAAAAGCAAGAAGCAATTCAGTTACTTATTCTTATACAACACTCTATCATAAGCCCACAGGTGGCTAGCTCAAACAAGCAAACAGAAAAATATTTTGAAGATTATGCATAATATTAATTTGATCCAGCTGAAGAATGATATATTGCAATTACATGTTATCAAATATAATGGCCCATCTCAGTAGCTTTTATGATGTTAACATGCAGCAGACAGAAAGAACACTCCCAAGATCTTCCTAGCAGACAAGCATTTTGGTAAACAACTACAGACTTTGATACATCCAAATGAATAATTGCCTACCTGTATCATTAAGGGATAAATCACTTTTCTCTGTTCTGAAGTCATGGGAAGCTGAAGTTAGGCACTCATTATCTGGAACCAAGAGAGGTGATACAGGCACATTTTGTTGTTCCATTAGAGGAGTTTCTTTTTCATTTAGACACACGGTTGTTTGTAGGGCATTGCAGAGCATTGTTGCACCTTCTGCCACCCTAGCAGAACCTGCCATAAAATAAAAACAAACTTTAGATGGAAACCAACTAGACTGTTCACATAGGTTATCCATATCACACAAAAATAAATCATGCTTTAACAATACACACAACTCTCACCTTCACCATGTTCACTATCTTACATTTTGGCCTATAAACCGTTTCCAAACCATACTTCCTACCATTTTCTAAATGTAGTTTGGTAAAGTATTACATAATATGCTGATTATCTGCAGCAATGTCAAGTAGCAAGCTCCATGTGGTGGCTGTTCATGTGAATCAGGCCAGAGGTGGTTTGATGACATGTGTACAGGGCTGGACAGGACTATAAGGACCCTTTTTGCAGACGAAGAAAACAAGTCAATTTCTTTCTTGCTTCCTCTCAGCTTTTGGATTCTGTACTGCACAGAAATTATGTTGTAATTTGCATTGGTTGCACTTACTTTTTTTTGTCAAGTTTTTAAGGTGGTCTTCAAGCGGAGCTACAGATTTTTCTCACCAGCTTACTTTATGGTGTGGTTATGCCTCAGCTACAGAACTGCATCTTAATTCCCCTAACCATTGCTTCAAACATAGGTACAAAAACATCCTCAGTAAAGTATATATGTGCCTTTCTTAGCTATTAGCCACATTATCAATTCCATTGCATTTTACAAATAGTTATATACAAAAGTTTAAAAGATGCTCACCTAGAATACAGATTGCTTTAAAAACTACTACTCCAAATAAAATAGAACTGTACATCTTCTTTTTAAATGCATGTCAAAGATATTCTGCAGTTACCTGGAAGGAAAAGACTAGCTGGTGCCAAGAAATTATTTTTGATAAGCAGATCCACCAGATCACCAACTGTACAATTTACGGTCCCCCAGTCATAAAGTAATTCACAGGTGGGACTCTTCCCTACTCGTGTTAATGCTTCAAAACGCCTAAGAAAGAAAGAAAGAAAGAAAGAAATTTTATAACTAGAAATGACCTTAAAGGAGAACATGAAAAATGAGAATCAATTATATCATTCTTTACCATTGTTTAGATTCCACATTTTTAAAATTAACTGCTGATCTAGCAACAGAAATGTAGATTTCATTATATATTCCACCTCAGATGTACTTCTGGTGTTGTTCTTTCTAAGCTATCTTCTGAGAATAAGGTTATACTTGAGTGAAAAGCCCATGTTCTTCGGCGAATGGGGCGGCATAAAAATGTTTTAATAAACAAATAATAATAAAATGTTCTGCTGGTTATGTAAGACTAGCTACCAGTTATATAATGCAGCTACTTATACCAATATCTGAATGTACAGTATCTAGTAATTTAAATAATATTAGATCAGTAACATCACAGCCTGCGACAGTGAATAAAGAGGAAACAGCTGCAACACTTTTGCAACAGAAAAGAATGAGTCCAATTGTACAAGGATAACAGAAGGTACATTCCAGTCCACAGGTAGACAGCCATGGGCAGATTCCGGTGACCATCTTGCAACTGCTAATTGCCAGGAAAGATTGTGCCCATTCCCCAAATAAAATCACAAGGCAGTTTAGGGAACAAGCTAAGCCTCAGATTTATTAATAAACCTTAACTGCAAGACAACACTCTTTTACAGTGAAGGTACCAATCTGAAAGATCCGGCTTCATAGAATCATCACATTTGCTAGACAATGCCACTCTGGCTCATAGCCTGAGATCAGCACTATCTAACCCCCGTACCCAACTGTCAACTCTTACTGAAGGAAGCTATGGCTCTATAGCTTGAGTTGTAGCTCCCATACAATAAGGGAGTTACAAACAGAAATGCCAACTTCCAGCCTTTTAGGTCAACAGAACTACCTATGCCCTAAATATGTTTCATTACACCGCCAGCCTCTAAAATCATGTTGGGCATTCCTCTCCGCACCAGTGTAATGTCTGGAGCAGCAGCTGCTTGATAACTTTTGCTCCTTCTACTCAACATTCAGCCAGCCACACTGCTCATAGCCTGACTGAACTTGTGTCAGCCTCACCTTTGCCTCCAAAGACTGGAGCAGAGCTGCTGCCTTAACCACCAATAAGTGAGGAAAGAGAAAGGTATATATTCTTTCAGAGAACACCAAAGTAGATAGATCTTGGTCTGATCCAGCAAGGCACTTGAATACACCCAGGGCCATTCAGCCTTAACTGGTTAGAAATCCCAAGTATGCACACTTGGTTTATACACATGCATATATAGTTTAAACACCTATACACAAGCTTCTAGGAAATAAATTAGATAATGCAAAATCTAAGTAAGGTCACCTCAACACAATTAATAAAATATCAGACTTAGCCCAGGCAGATTCTACTTCAAATCCAGGTTCACAAGGTGACCTTGGCCCTGTCCCAGTGTAACTTGCAAAAATAAAAGCATGTGATTTCCAAATATGTTGCTCTGAACTTCTTAAAAGAAACACAGAATACAAAGGTGGCATTCTTCTGCAACATATCAAACCATCATTTTACCTAGAAAATCTAAATATATTTGGACAATAGTGAATGGTGTTTGATTTTTAAAAGCCTTTCAAGTAGTGAGAAGGTTCAGTTGCTGTACAAAGTCATCATCAAACAGTATTAGCACTTTGGATATATACTACCGTATATGCATTTGGTTGTATCTGCTTGCACCAGAAGGATCTTTTATATCTATTGCTAATTTCTTCCATCCTTCCTGTGGATCGATGAAATCAGCTAGTTGCTTCATCATGCCATAGCCAAGGCAGCGCACATACGTTGAAGATGTTATAGAGTTGCTCATCTCCAGTTCCTACCAAATGCAAAACAAATTATTTTCATTTTCTTTTAATATATAAAGCTGACAACACATCCTGTTCTCATGAGGTTCTATCAAATTGTCATACTTTCATTTGACTTGTGTTGCTGTCTCATTGAATTGTCAACAATGATAAGATGAAGCTGCACTCTCCCTCAACATACCAGCAGAATTTTTGCATTATTTACCAGTTGATTTTTGTTGTTTAAGTTCAACAGAAGGTTAACAGTCATCCCTTTTACCACATGAACTTTCAAACATGCTTTTAAAAGGTTTAAAAAAGAAAATGGCAAGGCTACCTTTTCCCACATCACCGTTCTACTGTTTCAAAAACCTGTATTATTTCCTTATTCATCAATACATTTATTTTCTAGTTATAGTTTTAAAAATACAAATAGGCTTCTCTGTAACATTGCAGCAATAGGGCGGTCTTCTCAGTAAGCCCACAAAGTAATAAAGCTAGTTCCATGTTGGCCCTGAAGGAGAGGATGCTTGCTGCTCTGGAGCCAGCATGGAAATGAGAGATACTAGTTTGTATTGCAGGCTACTTTTTAAAAGTTTGTTTTCCACTTCACTTCCTTCGGCAACAGCATGCTATGTTTTCATGGCTGCCATTAGGAATGGGCTTCCAGCATGGCAGCCCACTCATTGGCTGCATGGAATTCCTTGTTGCATATGGCTGCTCCCATCAAGTAACAATAAACAGGAATGTATCCTTCATAGTGCCACAGCACTGAGAAGAAGTCGATTCACTTAGTAATAAGCCCAAACAAGGGTTTTTGAAAATGTTTACAAGATAGTTTTTGCAGTAAACCATCCTTGTTTCACAGTACTCTAAACTACAAGGGCATAAATAAAGAAAACCAGCCTCCTACGGAAGTATATGACTCTGCAAGATTTTTGTATTTAAAAAAAAAAGATTCGGTAGTATACATTTCCTACAATGCCACAGCACTGAAGTTAACTACTGCAAAACCACCCCTTTCAAAATTACCAGCTACAGTGCCTAATTCCCAAAATGCTAACATTCAAAGTTCCCAAACAAGAGGCCACTCTGTTCATTGGACAGAAGTGTTAAAATACGAACTCAAACCCACACTACCTAGCAATTGGTGCACAATACGAGAAAAAGGAATGCATCATGGTATGAACCATTAAATTTTAGGAAACTTCAGATACCTTCAGGTGAACTTCAGCATCTCTATGGGAACATCACAGGATGAGGAAAGGGGAACTCGCCTTCCAAGACTTCATTATGACAGTCTCAGCCCAGCATTAACCCATTCTGTTCCATGCATAGAAAAGTCATAATCCTATGCAAGGTTAGAAAAGGTTTACATTCCCAGCATGCTCCAGTCATAACTGGCTGGGGCATGCTGGGAATTGTAGGCCTTTTTTTCCCCCTTAACAAACATAGGATGGTGCCTTAACTAACTAAAGAGAGGGGGACTTTCCTATTCTCCACATGCCCTGTCGAAGGGAACTGGCGAGCAAGCAGACTTTCAACCGCGGCAGGTATTCCGCCCGGACAGATACGGAATAACCACCGGCTCGAGGGGCATGTATCGTGCGCGAAACTCCCTGAAGTAGCGTCCCGCATAAGCGCAGAGGAGAACCGCCGGCTCAGGCAGAGGGGGAAATGGTACAAGAACTCACCGCCCACAGCGAGTCTCCCGATACCCCGACAGGGCGAGACCCGAGCCCGGTAAGCAGCGCACGGGCTTCCCCAGCCCCGCCCTGTTGCTCAACTTTGGAACTTCCCCTCAGCTGGGCTTCGGGTTTGCGCTGGGCGCGCTCCTTTCTCAGAATTCTACGCATGCGTCGCAGCCCCCCCCCCCCCAGTCGGTTCGGCCCATCGACAAGGCAGGCGGGGAGGACACTTTCACTAGAAAGCGAAAGAAAGGCATCCAGAAAGCCGGGGAGCGATCTCGCTTTCGTCCACTCTTAGCGACGCGGATGGCTGGGCGCTTTCTGAGCGGTACGGTCTGATAAGCTGCTCTGCGCAGTTTTGTTCCAGCGTTGACCAATGATGGTACAGTCCTTTTTGTCTTTTTGTTTTGTTTTTGGTCCTTCCTTGCCTTCGCCCCTTTTACCTTGGGAAGCGTGGTATGATCTGCTACCTTGACCCTTCTACTTGATATCCTCTCGCTCCGCACCGTGCGGCAGCTGGAAGATTCCTTTTTTGTTCGGGGCTTGCGAAGAAGTTTCAGAAAACAAGCCTTTGGACCGACAAAACCAGATTCAACCGCATGGTGGTGTAGCGGTGCTCGCGGGGAGGAGATTGCACGGAGTCTAGTCGTCTCCAACACGCTGCAAGAGGAGACAAGTGGGGCTAAGAAAATTTGTGGAGGGTCCCATGGTTCCTACCCCTGGCTGCAGACCCAGTCAGGTCAGCTGTCTTGCCTAGGAATCGGGCTGCTCTTTCATGAATGTTGCTTCACTTTTGGAGGGATTGGGCAAGTGATGGCTGCAAAGGATGGTCCTCACCTGCCCTCTCTTCCCCTGTGTCTCTTGGAGTCTCTACCTTATTGCCGTCCCTCTTTTGGCATGGTAGGACAGACTGGCTCCAGTGGGGCCTGCCCAGAGGAACTGATTGCTTCTGAAGGAAGAGTTGGCTTCCCCCTCTCCACCATATCACAGTAAAGAGGATTGGCCCAGCTCCCACCATGCACCGCTCAGTGAATGTGTGTATGTGCGGGAAGGTCAAGCAAGAGTCAGTTGGTCGTCTTGTGCACCGTTTAGGTGCAGGGGTGGTGGGTTTGGGCTTGCCTAAGCCAACTGGAGAGAGGGAGAACAAGTGGGCAGAGACCTTTGTCACTAATGATGCTGCAAGACCATTTCCTGTGAGGCAGCCCTGCTGCCTCTTTCTCCCCCACCTGGCCAACTAGACATGCAGAAGTATCAGCAGCCTCTTCTGTTGACTCACTTGAAGTTGCTGAACACAGCTCAGCAAACCCAGCCCTTACCATTGTACGTTGCAAAGCGAGGTGGCAGGTGAGTGACCAAAAGCAGCAATGTTAGCATCTGCAATTTGTTGCTCTTTGTGGGTATGAGAGCTGCCATTGCTCTGTTGCTTCTGAATCAAGGGGTATTGTTTTTTGTGCATAGCACAGAGCAGGGGACAAATCTCCAAAAGACTGATGCTCCTTAGCAGCAGCTGGGATATGCCAGTGGACCCTCCTGAGTTGGTGGGCCCATCAATAGTTATGCTTATAACCCTTGACATTGGTGACCTGATGCTGGCTGTACCAGAAGGCCGTTCTTCAACTTACTATATTTGGGTATGTTGCAGCAGAGGGCAGCAGTTAGTATGACTAGAAGTGGTTGTATTAAGTGTCTAAGAAGCCTCTGCTAATAATTCTTTAAAAGAAGCTGTTTATTCATCCATCATTCAAAAAGCATTTTTCTGTGTGTGAGATGTTGGCATCGATACTATATACAGTAGAAACTAAAAACCCACTATTTTTTTTAAATAAAAAGAAATGTAAACTGCTTCCTCTAAAATGAACTGTTCCTGGTTTACTCACACCCCAGCCCACACATACATTCTGAGAGTTAGCTTGATTACTCTTCTTTCTTTTTTTTCCCCTAGATTGTATAATATTAGAATGGGAGAAGATTCTAAAACAGCAGTGGCACCCCAATCTTGCACTTACATGAATAAGCATGTTGGCTTCTGTGGCAACATAAAAACATTTCCAAGTGACTTCATAGTGACAGAAATTAATACATGTGGACAGTTAGTTAGTAAGATTACAACAGACTCAATTCATAAGTCCACTGAAAGCCTGTCCAGACAACCTAGGAGCTGTCAGGAGGACTCGAAGATTCCAAGGCTGACTCTTCCAGAACCATGCATAGATGAGGTATATTGCAGCGTTCCACATGACATTGTTCATTGTACTTCAGAACTTCATCCTCTCTCTGCTGGAGAACTTGAAGACTACAAACCAAATCATGCACCTGAGTGCCACTTTGACAAAGCTGTTACACTGGACTCCTTATTAGATAAAAATGTAAGGGAACAACTTAATCAGTTTGCTTGCCATGCTAAAAAAGCATTGGATTCAAAATCTGAGACACAAGTTCTCTCTGAATTCTCTCTTGGTCCTGTTCTGGACAAGAAGGTTCGAGCCAGCTTGCATGGTGCCATCAGACAGGAATACCCATTCTTAGTCACTATTACCAAATGTGGTGAGATTTTTGTAAAAGCAAATCAGGACTTTCAAGAACTATGTGAGCTGGTTTCTGAAGAGGAGGCATGTGGCTTTCTAAAATTTTTAGATGCCAAATCAGAAAATTCAAAGTTTGCTTTTAATCCTGATGGAAATAAGGAACACCGTAAGAAAGTTCACCATTTTCTTAGCAAAAAATTTGGAAAACTTATAGAAGCAAAGTCTTTCCCTGACTCTCAACAAAAAGTTGTTATTATTGTAAGATTTCGTGGAAGAAGTGGGTCCAGGAAAAGGGCTAATGCTGACCTTGGGGAGAAGCAAGAAATTTATACAGGTGAGTGCAGGTAATCCCCGGATTATGACCAAATTCTGCTCCTAAGAAACATATTCCTCTTTAAGTCAAAATTGTATGTAAATTGGATTATGCATAGTTGGCCCTCCATTCATGGGATTTAGGGGCACAGGACCCCCATGACAGTGGAAAACCCCATAATATTTCCCCCCTTGTCCAAACTCACCAGTGCAGCAAGGAAATGGCAGAGTGATTTTCTTCTTTGGATAGACGGGGCAGGAAGACATGCTTTGGAGGCCTCACACTCTCCCCTTTTGCTTCCTCTCTATACACTCATGGTAATTTTCCACAGTAATTAAAAACTCAATGGGCTTTGTGACAGCTGTTTTGTAAGTACAGGTGGATGTACTTACAACTTGGACGTTTGTAACTCGGGGTCTGCTTGTATGCAACAAATTGTCACTTTATTGAAAGTGTTGTATCCTCATAATAAACTAGTGTATAAGAGAATAGCATGTCAAATTCTTTCTCAGTGAAATCTATGTGCAGTAATTTAATACCTGTTAAAGAAAATGTACCACTGAAAAGCTGTTTGGGGTTATATTAATGCTGTGCTTGCAGCTCATGACATTCTCAGGAATGTCAACAAAATGCTTGTGGTAAAGGTAAAGTAATGGATGAGAAACATGTCTACCACCTTGAGTCCCTTGTAAGAGGGAATGTGTGATATAAATGTAAAAAATAAATTAAAATGGCTATGTTATAATGTAAATTAAGGAAGGATGTTTCTAGTGTAGTCACTATGCAGAGCAGTGGTGGGGGAAACCCTTGTTTATCCACATTGCAATAAGGATGAAAACAGACTCTACAACCATCACTACAAGAAAGCCTAATTTAGCAGAGCATCATGTAAGTGTCTGTTGGCTTAAGGAGACAGAAGACCTTGAATATGTTTAATTTATTTCTGAAGGCCACACTGGATGATATACATTCATGAAAGTAGCAACTACAGGAATGCATTTAAAGCAGGGGTTGACAACATTGAGGTGTCTGCAGACCATTTCCTCCACTCCCCATGTACTGCACTCCACTCCCTTTATTCAAGAGGGCACTGAGTACTCTCTCTTGAAATAGGTCAAGTTTGTTACAAAACAAACCAAATTTGGTCTGTTTAAAGCACTGTGAGACAACTGAAGTCTATTTATTTATTCCATTTTTATACCACCCAAGAGCCGCCACTTTATATAACCAGAAAGTTTCCATTTGATCCTGATGAGAGCTTTCTTTTTCACACCAATAGGTGGTACAGAGATGAAAACGTTAATCCTCCTTGCCCCCATCCAAGGTCTAGCTGGGGTCCCCATGTTTTAAGTTACACTTTAAAAAACTTATTCACGCAGTTAGTAGTTTTGTGGATAATGTAACATCTAGTTTGGACCTAGGTTCTCGTCATGCCACTGGAAAGTACGAAATATCAAAGTTATTTTATTTTGGCCACTGTATAGGAACTGGTACTGTAGTGGGCAGGATATTTCTGTTTAACGCACAGTGCCTTATAAGACATCACCGATTTGTGGAGTAGCTATGGTCTCAGATTGGTAGCTGCAGTCATTTGTTTCTCCATTTACTGATAAAAATCACTTAAAAGGTTTTCTATAGAAACTAGTTTTACATCTGTTGTTTTCAGCAGAACAAAGTTTAATTTGTAAAGAATCAATTTCAGCGCATCCTTACCTGATCATGTCAACAGATCTTGCATATATACACAGTCCGTGAAGGAAAACTTATAAATTCAGAGCAAAGCTAGATGCACTGATTTCATGATAATGTTGTTGCAGCTTTTACTCTCCAAAAAGAGAATCTGGAAACACTTGAAGCAATTAGCTATTTGTCTTCTGAACTTGGTGTGCTTCCTTCAGACTTCAGTTACTCAGGCATTAAAGATAAGAAGGCTATTACATATCAAGCTATGGTTATAAAAAAGATAACTCCTGAAAGGTAAGCAAGATTATCATCATACTTTGAACAGCATCCTAACTCTTTTAAAATTTTAAAACATTCTATTAAAGTTTGTAGATTAAAATGTTCCATTTTGTTTTGATATCTTAACATTTTGAAACAGAATTGGAGGTTAGAATCAACTGATTTGATCTTAATAAAGTTAATAAAGAGTATCTACCTCTTAATAGTGGCTTCAGTATTTTTTCCCTTCCTAGGTGTTAATTTTTCCTAAGGGAATGTCCATATCTTATTAAATTATTGAATTTCACAAATAACTTCATAAGCTCTTGCTGTGTGCATAAAACAAATGTTTTATATTTTGGAAATATAGCAACTTTAGCAATCAAATAAAAAATAAAATATCAAAATATAACAGCAGGAGAATACATTCACAGATATGTCCACAATAGGTGATAAAAATTCCCCTTTTTTCAAACTTCCTAGCATTTATTTATTTTTCTTTGGGTGTATGCAGTGATATGCCTTCTAGACATCAACTTGAAACTATTTTTTCTTACTACTTTCTAAAGAGAAGCAGTGACCACTCTCCCAGAGAATTTTCAAATTTAGGTTGGTGCCAATTACTATATTCTGGAGTAACAATTTCCATAATTTAAGAAAATATTTCCTTTTATCTGTACAGAATCTCCCACATATCAGCTCCACTGGATGATTAATGTTATGAATAAGAGGTTTGGGTGGTGACAGTGAAGAGTTCAATAAAAATATGATTCACTCAATATTTTCGTTGAACAATTCACTATAATACTTAAAAGACTGTATAATATCCCATTCTTCAAAATGGTGATAAAAAGTTTAAGCAGTAAAGCATGGTAGAACAATACACAGTTGTCTTCCCTGGGTCTTGGAATTCAGTGGTAGCAAAGGAAAAAGCTTCAAAAATAGTTCCTATTTTAAAGGGAAAAGGTTGTGGTTTGCTGCCAAAATGTAATGGCAAACCACAGTGACAGCGAGACAATGCTTATTTTAAATTAAAATAGCCCCTCTTTATCACCAAAGCTGCTGAATTTTGGTGGCAAACTCTGGTTTTTCCCCTTTAAAATGGGATGGGGGTGGAAGGTATTTTTCCTTTTTCTACTGTACCACTGAATGCCTGTGGTAAATTTGGTGATGCCTTCTTAGAGGAGGTAAGGGCAGGCAGTGTGGCTTCTCCACCCCTAGAAGCTGCCCACCCTTGCTGTAAAGTGAAGCGGGTAATAGAAATGTTTTCAAAGCTGTCAGTGTTTGAGTCATAAGCTGTTTTCTTGAGTTTCATAAAGATGGAAATGATTTTCCTTCACTTCAAAGTATTGATTAGTACTTGAGAAACATGTTTGCTTTGGGTGTCGACTGCTAGACATTTAGCAAAATGATATAGTGTTACTTGTCTTAAAAGAGATTTTCACAGTTAATGGTCTGAACCTTTAATTTACATTCTCACAGCTCTGATCCCTGAAAATCTGTTGTTCATCAGAGAAAAACTTTGTACTGCAGCCCTCTCTAAACCAAAATGACTCTGTCTTGTCAGCCTTACAAAAACAAACTCATAGTCCATTTCTCTCCTTGGGTGTGTAATGTACATGCTTATAATTGGAAACACAGCTTACAGTTCAAATATCTGGCCTTGAAGTGTTCACTTAATCTTTGAGTTCTTATACATACGCAGTCCCTTTTCAAGCAAAGGAACTGTTTATGCTAGAGGGTTTTTCTAGCACAATTCTGTGTGAAATTGGGGTAGCATGTTAAAATCTAATGTAGGTTAAGTCTCCATCAGAGCTGCTTAGTTTTGCAAAGTATTCTTTGCAGGCTGTTACTAGTTAGCCCTTTCCAATTTAAGACTTTCTTAAAAAGACTGCTTTGTTGAATGCTGTTCTCTTCCTTCCTGCCCTAACCACCTTCCCACCTATGTGTCGAACCTGAACTAAGTGGCAAAAGTTTTTGCTTAGTTCTTGCTTAGGATGCATTTGGTTTTCATCTTTAAGTTCCTTTACATGTATAGTTAAAAACAACGCCAATACATTATCGTCTTCAGAATGTTCAGGCAGCATTATCTTATCTATCACAACCTTAGACAGCCTAGTCCCTTCTTATTGCTTAAAAGCAATATATTGGCAGTTTATTTAATAAGTTTATTCTCTGCCTTTCCTTTTTTTTTTTTTTACAAATTCCTCCTGACAGCTAATAATAAGGCATTTTTTAAAAAATCTTATAGTAAGAAGAAATCCAACAAAAATGGTAGAATGTCAGAAATGATTCTGTTCAAGAACCTGAAGCAATAGGCCTCTGTAGGCATTGGGCCCACTCTGCCTGTGAAAGAGCCTTCAATAGTTGTGGAATCAGATTCTGAATCAGATGAAGATAAAAGGCCAGGCTCTGCAACTGAAACGCCAAGGAACTAGAGAGAGGCAGAATCAGAAAGTTTCGAGTTCCATGAGAAACTTTAGTGAGCAGCCTAGGTGCAGGTGGAAGCTTCAGGTGCTCCAAGCAATTGCCCCTGAAACAGGAAGACATGCCTTGCAGATACGGTTTTCTCTTTTCAGTTTGGAAGAGAAGAGAGCTCCTTAGTGTGGTATCAAATTCTTATCATTAAGCCTCATGGTAAGGCTTCTTATCATCAGTCTAATGGCTGTCTTCTAACTTTGCTTGTTTCTTCTGTTACTGACTCCCTAGTAATGTCACAGTGCTTATCTGTTTTGCTACAAAGTCAGCATAGCTGTTCTGCTTGGAAGGCAGGTGAGAACCCTACTGGACCAAGAGCTGCTGCACACACATAGATGGCCAGATGGCATTCCAGAACCTGGTGCCACAGCAGAGAAGCCACTTTTATTTATTTATTTATACATTTATTGTTCTTCAAATTGTTTTGTGCTTCAAGGAGAATTATTCCCAGTAAAACGTTGGATAAAAACCCAGTTTTTAATCTGTTTTTGAAAAATACATATATACATGTTATTTGTTAATCTGCAATATGACACAAAACTCCCAATTGTCTTTTCTTTCCACAGGCTGAAGGAACTTGGAAGCACACTTGGAAAAAAAGGACTAGGTATTTCTAATGTACATTCTGCAAGCCACCCACTTAAGCTCGGTCAACTGCAAGGAAATCACTTTGATATTATTGTGAGGGATTTAAAACTCAAGAGTTGTGATTATTCTGCTAACCTAATGGAGAGAATAGGTGAAGCAATTGAAAATGTCAAGGTAAAAGTCTTTTAACTTTCATGCACTCTTTGCTTTAAGTGAGCATACCGTATGTTGCTCATAGTGTTGCAAATACTGGTTTAAATTGTCTTTTTAATTTTGTAGAAAAATGGTTTTATAAATTACTATGGACCTCAGCGATTTGGACAAGGTCAGAATATTCAGACAGACAAAATTGGATTGGCTTTGCTGAATGAAGAACTGGTACTTGTTTAAATTTGTATACTCCCCTTCCTCCTAAAAGCTCGGTTCATAATGTACATATAGTGTACATAGTTCTCCTACTCCATCATCATGACAATCATGTGATAAAGGTTAAGCTCATGATCTCTCAATAAGCTTCACAGCTGGAGGAACATTTACATTCAGATTTCCCATTCTTAGTTTGGTCCTGTACCACCTTGGCTCTTTTTCTTCATGCGGAAAGGTCTGCTCACTCCTTTCTGACCTAATAGTCAGTGGCATCTCTGGGCACTGTTCTGACATACCTGAGAAATGCCGGGAAGCCCTGTCCCAGAAGAATTCGGTTCTTCAGTAGCCCCAGTTCTAAAGATGAATGGCCACAAAGTAACATTTCAAAATCATAAACAAAACAACATAGCATGTGTGTTTGCTTGCTTTAAAGGTCAAAGCTGTGAAATTGTTTTTCACACCAGAAGATGCAGATGATCCTGTTAATATAGCAAAGAAATATTTTCTTCAGACTGGTAAATACATTATGTCACTCATTTCTGATTTCCCATCATAAATATGTTATGGAAAGAAAATATTGTTTAAGTATGAAGAAATTCAGGAATATGTGTATGAACATTCTCAGTACTCACTTTTTATACAACTGTTCATAACGTCTTTGCATTTTCATCAGGAATTTAAACTGAAAACCATTTTAATATATTTATGTAGTGTGCTATAGCTTGGAAATAGCCAATAATATTGGAGAAGTTTTTCACTCAGAATTAGCATGGGAACTGAAAAAAATGTATTTGTTGTTTGCTCTGCAAAACTTGTACTAATGTTGTAATTTTCAAAGCCTTTAGAAATAAATGACAATTACAGTTTTGTGTACCTCTGCCTTCTACCATCCTTTGACATTTTCTCACCTGTGCTGCTGTTCGGAGAAGAGTAGAAATAGGCAGTTTCTCCCAGTAACAGTCATCAAATCTTAAAAAGTATATTTGCAACTTCTAAAGGGCACTGCATAATAGATTTTTTTGTAGGTCTCACAGTTGGTTTGACAAGCTTTGATAAGAGTATGAAAGTACTAATTTGTGTTACTGTGATATGGCCTATATTAGTCTAGTTCATTACTTCTATAATGTAACATTTCTCTTTCATTTCTGAGCATTCTATGGAATGTTTCATTTCTATCTTGTCCTTTTTTCTGTTTGGAATTTTTTGCTGCTCACACTGTAACAAGAACTTCCTAGAGAGTTCTATGCTTTACTAATGTAAGTAGTCTCTTCTTCAGATGGCCAGGACTTAATTAGTTTTCTGTGTCCTAGAGAACTCTGTTGTACCAGGGCTTTGACAGAGCAGTGAGCTACAGAATCTATTACAGCATTAGACCATTTTCCACAAGGTTTTTAAAAGGATTTCCTTGCCTAGATTGTAAATTTGTCCATGTCAGGAGATGGGTCAAAATGGAGTGGAGTGCACTTTACTTCCAAAGGCAAATGCACACAAACCACATTCTTCAAATAAGTATTAATCAAAGTATCATTTCATAAAGGTACTTTTCTTCTTCTACTCTTCATCAATGAATATAAATGAAGGTCATTCCTTCCCTCAAAAAAAGGAGATCTATTCATAAGGGAGAAATTCTCTGATGTATCTTTTTTACCTTTAGAAAGAACTAAACTGACACCTGTAAGATTTCTTCCTCCCATCCCCAGGCTCTTATATATTCAAGTCTTATATATTCAACTTGAAAAAGAACATTTCCTTTACAATGAGAGCAGAAGGAAGGAAGGAATGGCATGGTAGTACTTTTCTCCCTTTGCAGAGTGTTAATAGTTTTCATTTAACTGTGTGGTTACAGTGTGACTAATCCAGAAAGAAGATTGAAAGAGCAATCTAGGAAAAAGACACCTAAAAATACCTGCTGTTAATATATTTTGGAGAATATATTTTTCCAATCCAAAGTTGTCTTTTTATTTACAAAGTGGAGAAAACTTGGCACAGACCCTGTTCTAGATAGTGGTGTTGGATCCTGAGGCCAAAGTCCAAGGCCCCGTAGTCCATCAGCCCTGCTAATTCCACTCAGAGTAGCAGGTAATGAAATCCCAGCATCAGCACAAAGGGCAATATGTCTGCCATGGCAGATGCTGCTTTCCATAGCATCCTTCTGTTTTTGAAAAGAGAGAGAGAGAGAGAGATTCTATAATCTGGATTCAACATAACTGGGCATGATTTCAGGTGTTCATTTTAACATAAGAACTCTTTCAACAGTAAAATTACGTTTATTCCCAACTTTCCTGTTCAGAGTCATTGCTCTTTCTCTGAAAACACAAGAAAAGTATAAACATGTATCTGGAACCAGTGAGGGGAATAAAGCGGGTGGTAGAAAGGCCTTAAAGGGGAAACTGATGGATAAAAGAAGAGCACAACACATTCTAGCCACCCATCACCTCTGTGCTGAAAGATCCTCTTCTTTTGCTCCAATCTTCAATCGAATTGTAGCACCTGGGTTTTGAAGAAATGTATTAGAAGCACCATGTGTCATCAATTATTTTCTTGTCTACCTTTTAGAGGATGCAAAAGGCACTCTTGCAATGCTGCCTGACTTTAAAGTAAGAGAAAAGATGTTACTCCGTGCCTTGAACCGCTATGGGATAAACCAGGAAGGCTGCACGCGAGGATGGCTCAGCATTCCGCATTCCATGCGTATTTTCTATGTCCATGCATATTGCAGTAAAATTTGGAATGAGGCTGCATCCTACCGGATTATGAGCTATGGTGCAAGAGTTGTGGCTGGCGATCTAATATTTTCTGGAAAATGTACTGAAAGCTGTTCACTGAGTGACAAGGTAAAATGGAGCATGAGGAATATTAACACATCTGATTCAGGATTTCCTGTTTGCATAAATTCTAGCACCATTACGTTGGCTCTACATTTTTGGAATTACAGTTTTAATTAGCCCATTGCTCCTCCAGGTATCCCACGAATAGATATCAGATACTGAGACACCTTATTTTGCTTCGTGTGTTTATGAGTACTGAAAGCATTGTGCTCTTAGGAACTAAAGCAGCCTTCCCCAGCCAGGTGCCTCTTGGTGACTTCAACTCCCAGCAGCTCCTGCCAGCATGACCAATGGTCAGGCATGCTGGGAGCTGTAGTTCCAAGCATCTGAAAAGTACCAGGCTAGAGAAGGTTGAACTGTTGCATGATCCAGAAGGCTGAATGTGTAAAATGAGATGGTGTTACCCTTGTCCTAAGATAGTTGTGTGTCAAATCATGTGTCAGATCTCATGCTCAAAATGCTCTGGGTTTGGGTTGATACAAGATAGAGTGAGTCACAACTGAGACACAAATTCCAGAGGATTGTCACACTATGGGGCAAAAAACACTAGCCTCAGATTCTGCAGCAAGAAACATGAACATCTGAGCCTTATATCTGTTTTCCAACTCTGCAGAAAGCTGTATAAAATTCAAGTGAGAATTAGTGACATCCAAGGTCACCCAGTAAACTTCTTGAGTAAGCACAGATTTGAACCTGAATCTCCTTAGTCCATGGCCAAATGTATACTATTACACTCTTTGAAAAAGAATTTAAAGTGGATAACAAATAAGCTAAATGCATTTATGTCATGAAAAGGAGATGGGTTGGGCATAAAAGCATACTCAGCCCACAACACAGAAGTCTTCTGTAGAAACGGTCTTGATTTCAAGAGCATCTCAGCTACCATAACAACTAGAAACTTGTTTTCCATTCTTAATTGAAATTGAAGTTCAGGGAAATCATAACTAAATGTCAGATGAAATTCCGTGTGCATGAAATTACAAAAAACAAATGGCTTTACTTGAGGGTCTTCATAGATAATATTTTATCTGTCCTGAAAAATGGGGTTAAAAACTCTTGGATAAATGAAAAATAGACAGTTGGTTTGGAGTTTGACTTTTATTTTTGTTAAGATATATTACGGAAGATAAGTTTGAAACACTGGAAGACAATCCAGTAGGAAGCTTGTGTTCAATTATGAAGTTACTTCACCACAGCTAATATTAATTTCACATTCTTTACCATTTAAAGTGGTGTGTTCTGAGATTAGAAATCAGATAAGTGAGAAGCCAAGTCAAATACTTGTTTCTAATTTTGTGTTGGTTTAAACCAACCATTTGCCCTTGCAATAATGGCCTGGAAATACTTTTTAAAGAAATGATCACACATGAAATAATTATTAAAAATTATTATTAAGAAATAATACACAATATTGTGTATTATAAAAACAGTTGCCTTTATTCTATATATGTCTTTAATTATTTGAAGGATAGCATAGAAATCTCTCTACTAAATAAGTCTAATAAAATACATTTCTCTTTTTATACCAGGTCCATGTTGTAACATTGGCAGAAGAGATGGCAGATCAGTTTACAATACATCAAGTAAGTTTGTTCTGAGTACTGTTTTCAATGAATAAAGAAACACTATGGGTCAGCCTTAACCAGAGCAGGCCCGCTGAAATGAATGGGTCTTGGTCAGACTAACAATGGATACAACCGTAAGCTTGTAACCTGGGCTTTCATTTATGTGACATAATTTTATCATTAGGGCAGTTGCTAGAAAACATGAACTGAAAGAAATAAGAGTCTAGACTACAGCCTCTTTCACAGGAATACACAGATCTTTGTATATCTGGCAGGGTTTTTTCCCAAGCCCATATCCAAGGGCTTCCCATCTTCCTTTTTCCTCACGTCAAGACACTCTCAGTGGCACTGCTCCCTCAGTGAGTCTCATCACCAGCTGCTATTGCTCTTCATCCTCTTTCTCAGCATCTCTACCGCTTGTTTGCGTGACAGGCAGAAAACCAGTGAGCAAGTAAGCAGTGGTGTCCACAGGCTTGTCCCCTTCACTGTGAGTTGTGCCAGAGTGAAGAACACGTGAAAAAAACAGGTTACAAGGGTGCAGATGAGGAGCAACTCCAGGGGGATCTTGCCAGTGGGTCTCCACCAGGATGTGACCCCTCTGTTGGTGTCCAGTCATGACTATCTTTGACACTTGCCCTTGCCCTAATGTGGTTTCATGTTTCACTGTGCTTTGGTGTGTGTCTCTGCATGTGTTTTTCCCCCTACATAATATGTTCACACTACTTTTTTCTTCCCCAAGGTTGTGCTTCCAATGGTTGGCTACACTGTGCAATATCCCACTAATAAAGTTGGGGAGTGGTATCGCAAAAGGCTTGCTGATGATGGGCTTCAGATGCACCAGTTCAGACTTCCTGCATTACACCTGAATGTGCCTGGCTGCTACAGACCTCTCTTGAAATACCCGCACAACCTGTCATATCATTTCTTAAGAGATAATGGAAAAGAAGTGGGAACTGGAGAGGTTCCCCGGCAGGATTCAAAAATTTCTCTTTCTTTGTCATTTCAGCTTGATCCTTCCTGTTATGCAACTGTTTGCTTGGGCGAAATTATGAACTGTGAAATATGAATTTTTAAAGTGTTTAGCATAACTTTCCAGGAAAAGGTACAATATTTAAAGATGGCACAGGCTCTGTTGGGATGGGAGGGATGATGGTAAAGAACTACTTTGGAGATTATTTATAAAATAAAAAGTCATCTCTGATTTGGGCCATAAGCTGTTTAGGAAACCAGTAGTTGAAAATGGAGTGGGAGGCACTATAATCCTATACACACTTGCCTGGAAGTAAATCCAAAACAATTGAACTTCGAAATCAATTAAACTTGCTCCTGAGTAGATGTCTATTGTATTGTTCCCCAAAATCTTACTAAATTTTATATAAGAACCAAGCCAAACAGAACCAAATACAAAGTGCATCATCTTGGTATAGAAACAACAACCCTGAACTGCATCATTAAATTTGTTTTAAGTAAGTATTTTTTTAAATATTCCTTGGGATGAAATTCATACTTCATTAATGAAGTAAAATTACATTTTTTCAGACATTTTCAATTTGGCTAAGAGTATCTTCTTCCAGACATTTGTGCTACAATCCTGTACCTGCTTACCTAAGAGTATCCACCATTAATTCAGCAGGATTTATTTCTGAGTAGATATTAATATCTATTATTATTATTATTATTATTATTATTATTATTATTGTTTGTGATATTTATCAGTCAACCACAAGTGAACCAGCTCCTCCCCTTGCCTTTAATCTATAAATCAAAACACAGTTTAAAACTAGCAACAGTTAAAAGTGCAAATAAAAGATGTCAACAAAACGTCTAGTGGAAAGGAACCAGTTCCAGTTATCATTAGCTTGTGAAAAATTATTTTCCTGCCAAAAGCTACATCTGCAGTAGAAGCAGAAAGCCAACAGGGATTTGGTCAGATGCATCCCAGGAGGCAAAGTATTTCACAAAGTGAGTATCATGAAGAAAGCAGAACTCACTGCCTTTATGGTTTTCATATCTGCAGAGAGACAGTTTGTTGTGGGACAGATTAGAGGTCACTGAGAGAAGGAGGATGTTGTCAAGTAGGTCCTTGTAGAGCTTAAAACTCAGCAGCAGCTCCTCAAACTAGAAGCTATAGCAACGATACGCTCCCTGAAGCCTGTTCCAGTGTTCCGCTTTAGTGGAAACTTCCAAAGCATCTTCCAGGGTTGGCCCAGCAAAGTGTCTTGCACTACTTAGTGATGAGGGAATAAAGCACAAATGACTTCAGACCAAAGCCTTGTTGGGAAGAACAGCAAGCTAATCTATCAGCCCTAAGCTGGTGGGAGGCCATTATGGACACTGCTGCTATTGAATGTAGAGTCTGTCTAAGTTAGCAGGGTGAGCCCAGGATGCTTTGCTGCCTGAAGCAAAACCAAGATGGTTCACTGTTTCATTCCATGTACAGAAGCCAGCTGGCACCTTGCCACTGTACTCACACTGTCCTCTTTCAGAATCTGCTGCCTGAAGTAGCCATCCCACCCTGCCTAATTTGAGGGCCAGCCCTAAAATTAGCAACCTTACCAGGAGAATTATAAGCCGATCCAGAATAGGTAAATAAATTCAGCATCCTTGTACTGGTAGATGAAGTGCAATCTCAACTTCCCATATTTGGGGGATTAAACTTGTTCAGGTTTGCCCAACCTATTGTTGTGATATGTTATATTTATGGGGGGGGGGGTTCTGTTTTAAAATAAAAAATAAAGGGGGGGAGTGTTTGCCCAGCCTGTAAACGTTTTCAGGCATCCAGTGACTTCACCATAGCAGGATTTCATGAAAATCACTTCTCTGATTTCACCAAGGAAATCCACTGTGCCTTTTTAAATGAGGTATTCTTTTAAATTAAGCAATTGAATTTAGTTGTATTATTTGAGTTCTATTTTAGCTAAGCTGCTTTGGTTGTCCTACTAGATTGATGAATGCCTAAAGCAAATAAATGAAATGAATTATCTGAGTGGGAATATGAGCAGCATATTTATGATGCTTAATTTTGAACTTTGAAACACGTTCATGCAGAAGTAGCATGTGAAGCTTTACAATACCCTGATGGTTCAGTCCCAAGCAGAATTAACCAGTGCTGGCCTCCAGCAATAAACCCTCAGAGAGCACCATCAGGATTCCTCAGGTTTTGGGTTTAGAAAAGCAGTTACCTTCCGGGCACTTTTGTTGACCATTACCATGGTTCGGCAGTATTGGCTATTCTGGCTAGGGCAGATGAGAGTGGTAGGCCAAATGTCACAAGTTGTCCATCCCAGCTTGAGAGTTCCCCAGACTCCATATCTTTCTTGTTTGACTGCTCCCTATCTGTCCTCACTCTCCCACACACACACTTTGGAGAGATCTTATTTCACTCAGTTGTCCCCTCCGGCCTTCTCTCTTTCAGGCCTTTGTATCTTCCAGTCATCCCATCTGATCCCACTGTTTTTTCAGGCTGCTATGTTCTCATGTGGCCATGTATTATTTTACAGAGGTCACTCTAATTTAAAAGAATCTCCATTTGAAGGCCTGCACAGACCTGATATTTTTTAAAATATAAAGAACCATAAAAGGGAAATCTCCTTATTAACTGTATCTGGACAACAAAATCAACCTGGCTTACTGTCTTCCATACTATGGTGGGGTGTTGTGCATTTCTATTTAAATTACAGTAATTGTTTCTAAGTACACATCTTACAAATGAATTAATATACTCAATGGATGTCTTATTTTGGCGTCCTTTGGTGATTCATTTCCTTTTTTTTTAGCAATTTCTTAAGTGACTACCCTATTTTATTCTGCCTCTCCTTTCGCATTAGTGTTGCAAGCAAATGTTACAAACTACTAATTTGTAACCTGTAAATCTGCTGTTTTGAGCTATATTAATAGAAGTATCACTTTGAAATCACACAAAGCACTAGTTAGGCCTCATTTTGATTATGGGTACCACAGTTTAAGAAAGATCCAGGCAAACTAGAACAGATTCAGAGGAGGACAACAAAGTTGATCACGGGATTAGAAGCAAAGACCTGTGAGGAGAGACTAACCTTGAGTTGATTGAGGGGAGATATGATAACATGCTTCTAGTACTTGAAAGATTGTTATACAAAGTTGGGCCAGGATCTCTTAATCATCACTGAGTACAAGAAACAGAATAATGGGCTGTTACAACAGTACAACAATGGAACCAATTACCTAGAGAGGTTGTGAGCTGTCCCACAGGGGAAGCATTCAAGATACATTTGGACAGCTATCTGTTAGGGATGCTTTAAACTTAGAGTACCGCTTTGAGCAGGGGGTTGACCTGATGGCATTATTGACACCTTCCAACTCTACTATTCTACCGTTCTATCAAACCCTATTAAGTTAGATTTGTCTTCTGTTTGCATACAGTCTAGTACTGCCATGTTCAGCTTTTACTTGTGTAGACAAACTGTTCAGCACAGGGCCAGAATAAGCTTTCTTCTACTTTATTCACAAATTCTGTGTTGGCAGGAAGTGAGTTGTGTGAATAAATGAGAGAGCCCTTCTTATTATGGACTGGAGTTACAACTATCAGAAGTAAATCTAGGGTGCTTGACTCCAGGACATCAAAGAAATGGGTTTTCAAGCAAACATTTATGCTACATAACCGCATCCCTCAAGGAAATGACCTCCAGATGTTTTGAACTACATTTCCAGCATTACTAACTTGGCTATGTTTGCTGGAGCTTATTGGAGTTGAAGTCCAAAATACCTTTGGATGGTACCAGCTTGAAGAAGACAAATATTAATTGGCTCTGGAATTATGGTTCCTACTATTCTTTACTCAGCTTGTGTTGCCATATAGGAGTCGTAAAGTAATATAATGGAGTAAATGCATGATGTAGATTGTGGTAAATAATGGTAGAATCAAAATATTTGCAGAACAAGATCTTCATTTTCTTAAAGCTCAACACATTTTTCTTATAGCAAACCAAGCTGTTATCATATTAATTTCCATATTTGGAAAGGACAAAGTTATCTTGTTTCTGTGAGTGGATCTTCTCTTGTAGCTTTGCAAATGAAGAAAGAACACTGTACCATCCTCTGCAATTATCTAGAATATGGAGTTAACAAAGATGAGGCTTTTGACAGGGCTGTGCATAGGGGACCTGCTCTTGTATGAATAGCAGGAATGCAGAGAATTATCTAATGTATCCTGGTAAGAGGGAAGTTTTTGCACAATGTGGTATAGATCATTTGCTATTATCCTATGCTTCTTGCATTTAAATAATGTTTGTAGTTCTCCAAATAGCTCTTTAAGTACCTATCATACCTAATTAGGCAGCAAAATGATTAGAAAGAGAAATGCAAGATAACGTATGTCATTCGTTGTACCCCTTGTGTTTTATCTGCAGATGGCAGTGTAGCTGCAGGAATTATGGGGGGAGGGGCAAGGAAAGCAACATGTGCAGAATAGCTTATATCATTTGCTATTAATTTACTGCAGTTCCCCTGCTCTTGAGATGATAGATTTTATTCCATGGGGTGAGTCTTTGATTTTATTGTTGAAGGCTTATAAGCTTGCTTGGGAGCAAGAAGTCAGTTTTGGACAATGCAAATTTCCTCCATGGGGTTCCAGTCAAACAGGTGTTATAGTACTCCAATATTCCCCTGCTTAGTTACTACCAGATGGTTTGGACTACAGCTCCCATCATCTCTGACCATTGCTCATATTGATTCCAGCTTTCAAAAATGGAATGGTAACTTTTCAAACAGACAAAACAATGGGTTGCATAGATGCCCTTGGATGATACTGCCCTCTATTTGGGTGCTGTTTAAAGTGTTCATTGAAAGAAATGGGCAATTTGCGACCTTCTACAACTTCTATCATGCTTCATCATTATGCTGGTTTGGGTTGATGAAAATTGTAAGCCAAAAATTTGTAAAGCCCCAAGTTGCCCACTCCTGATCATATACATTCATGCTAAAAGCTGTGATGATATTAGGGATATTAGCTGAGAATTAAAGGTAACCAGTCTTTTCATCCTGATAACAGGATCTGTGAAATTCAAAAGTTTGCCCTTTTCTTTTTTCTTTTTTTACCAATAAGAGAAATTGGTCCAGTCAGGGACTTGCTACACAGTATTTGCTCTTCTTCTAGGAATAGCCGTTTCTACCGACAAAGACACTTACCTTAAGTGCTGGAATCAATTTCATTGATTTTACAAACAATCCTAGGCCTTTTGATGTGCCCCAAGACCCCTCTCTCAGGGCATTATTATCCTCTTTCTTATCCCTTTCTAAAACTCCACCCTGAACTTGAATGAGAAGAGCCACGGTGGGTCAGGCCAAGGTCCATTTGTTCCTGCATTCTGTTGATACTGTAGCCAACCAGCAGCCTGTGTCTTTCATGATGCAGTTAATGGTGGTGCACATTGCAGAAGATGAATTTAAAATCAGGAAATTTGATCTGGAAAAATGCTAGTCAGAGCTAGAGCTCCATGGTTTCTGATACATGTGCAGGAGTCCATCAGTTCTTCTGCATAGCTAGATGTTTTAGATGCTCCATTTGGATCTTGTGTGATGTGGGTTGACACAAGTAACAGCCATAGGAAGGTGTTCTTTCCTGTATTGGAGAAAGGTGTTGCAATTCATCTGCTTCTGCATCCAAGACCCTGAAGAATGGGCTGGGGAGGTGAGTTACTAACACCTCATTTCTCACTGTTCTAACATCTTTTGGACAGGCATTTTGCCTCAGGGTGTTCCACTTCTCAATGTTGAGATGAATGGAAGTATACTTTATTAATGAGGAGCCCATTTGTGTTCATATGGTGCTCCACTGGATAGCAGATTCTTCTGTGGTTATGCCTCAGTTACCGTTGAAGGAGAGCATAAGTATATGCTAAGTGTGTATTTCACAGAAATACAGTTATTATTGGCACTTGTCCTCCAAACCAGAAGTGGAGTTTTGATTCTGGTTTTGGGAGGTAGTGCTAAACTGCAATTTCCCAACTCTGCGTATTAGCAAATTATGCTTAGTAAAATACAAAATAAAAGTGAAGCATGAGAAGGGAGCATGCAGTTTTCCCACCATGGTTTGAACGGGGCAACCTGTAGACCAAAACATCTGGAAGGCCACAATTCATACCAGTAGCAGCATAGTCCAGACCAGTAACACAGCAAGAAGCTGTGGTTTCAAACTTTGCTGATGGTCCTCCAGCACCCAGGAGTTGCAGGTTTAGACATCACATCACAGGGTCTGCTGAAGGCTTCCCATTGCTGAATGAGAAGAAGAGCACAAGCAAAGGTAGAGGAGTGAAAACCACTCCTCTTCAGCTGTCAGGGAAGGAAAGAGCACAAGAGACTGCCATGTAAGAAATGGGGACACAAGCCATGGGAACCATCAGCAGCACCAAGAGCTTTTTTCCCTTAGAGCTGTAGTACAGTACAGGCAGTCTTCAGGGCCTGTACTACTGCCTTTCTACCAGTAGCCCACCCTAAGGAAGGATCTCTCGTGGCAAGACAATTGGGCTGGGCAGTCTCTGGAGTGTAGGGCTACTCATCCAGTGTCTTTCTCTATGCAGTCCTTGGAGCAAGGCCTCTCTGGGTAGTGCTGTGGAGAGTTGTGCCATGCTGTCTCCTGCTGAGGCTAGCACAGTGTCTATGCCTTACTCCAAGTAAAAAAAGGGGGCAGGCGGTGGCAGGTGCTTTGGAGAGCCACCTCGGCTGCTTTTCTGATGCAGATTTTGCCACAGCAGGGCTCTCTGGTGCAGCTGCTCACTCTGTGCTTTGAACAACATAGGGCAATGGCAGCATCATACCCATGGCCCTTCTGGCAGCGTGTTGCGTAGGATCTACAGAAGGGTTTGGATAAAACTTCTTTGGGAATCCATCCCTCTAGCATTCACAGACTTCCTCTCGGGCTCAGCCCCGTCTTAGAAAATGATCCTATCTGAGAGAGAGTCTGAAAACGCTTGCAGAGCAAAGGTGGTGCAACTGGCAACTTTCTTCCGC